AAGATCATCGTCCCTGTTCCTGATCGATCTACAGAATCTCACACCACACATCTTGTCTACAATAGTCTACTGTCCCGTCAAACTGCCAACCTTTAAGTAGCCAGCCCTCGTCGATGCCTCGCGGAGATCCCGTCTGTCGACCTCCAGCCGACCCCAAGATCTTCATACCATGTACCCGTTTCACTGCCAGGACTACTGCCACTTCACGCATTCATTACTTATGCTATGCAAGTCCCCCAAAATAACTTGCCCATGCAGTCAGTGCTTCAGACAAGTCCGTACAAACTCCACAGAACCTACGTACACTGCCTTGCCTTGCCTTGTCTGCCTGCCACTCCTGCTAGCTGAGTGGAAATGAGGCTTACAAGTTCCATCCAGCAAGTACACTGCAGCGGACTAAACTCCATGTATGTGGATGTGCAATAGTAGGTACTTATGCCCGTATGCCCGTAAGAACCGGATAGGATGATGGGATGTTGTCTACAGTGGAGTCGTTGGAGTCTCCGAGGTGAGTGAGTGATGACGTTGTTGCTGGGGAAGCTGGAGCGTGAACTCGGACAGACGGACATTGCCGACGCTGACGACCAAGGAATCTCGAGACTCGAGAGGCATAAAGAAACTGGAAGCTTGCATTGAGGTTGCAGCACTTTTATGCTGTAACTCCGTGCAAGATTCACGATGGATCGACCTGTTTAGGTACCTTCACTTCCTGTGGGCAAAGGGACTTTACGCCTGTTTATTTCTGAGACTTCGCCCGGCTTCCTTCGCTTGATTTAACTTTCGTGACATCTATATACTCATACTCTGCAGCCCGTAGTCAGCAGACTGCCACGTTGGCCTTTTTTGGACACTGGTAATATGACATGCTTTCCTCATCCGCTATATATACCGTCTCCTCGTACATGCTATCCTGCCAGTCAATGCTCTGAACTCGCTTTCCTCCATGAGTGTAACCATGGCGATAAAAGATGTCCATCAGTAACGTTAAGGATAGAACGTCTGGTCTATCACATGTTTTCCAAAAAACCAGAAACTGAACATCTCCCTTCAAGTCCGTCCCTGTCTTGAAGTCGCTGGACAAGGCCAAAACGTCCAGGTTCTAGTCCGCCCCTTTTGGTTCCTTCCTCATCATATATTGCCGATAAGCATCCCGCATGGGAGGCCGGTCCAAGTAAACAACCTCATCATCCTCCTGCTGAACAGGCGGCGGCCGCGCGTAGTACCTCTCATCCCCATACGCACCACCATCTCCACGCATCACCTGTGTAGGAGGCTGCTCAGGTGGAAACACACTATAAGCGCGACCTCCCACCGGCGGCGGAGGCGGCTGCATGACCTCTCTCCTCATCTCCGGACGGCCCTGATATTCACGGCCGGCCATCTCCGGCTGCACGCTTCCTAGCCTTGCTCCGTAGTCGCCTCTAATCTCATACCTGGCCGCATCAAGAGGGGGCCTAACGCTTGCTGACCGAATCGTGGTATACTCCCTCAGGCTCGGTTCTGCTCCCATGCGTCTCTCGTAGCCAAGAGGAGGAGGCGCCTCGTAGCGGACTGCCTCTGCCACTGGCCTGACGCTAGCTGCTCTGCCGCCATAGTATTCGCGGGGACGCTCGTCAACCGCCCGCAGATCGTAAGCCGCGACACTCTCGTAGCGTGTGGGCTCCATCGGGGGACGAACGCTTCCCGGTCTCGCGATGTACTCCTGAGGCATCTCGACAACAGGCCGGCCCTCGACCCTGAGTCTCGACGGCACATAGTCGCCGGACGGCGGGCCCATGGGGTGAGTGGAATAAGCACGCTCCCTGTACACTCTATGTTCAGGGGTAACGTACTCTGGCTGAGCAATCACACGACGCTGAGGAACATAGCCTGGCGAAGTGGGTTCGTAAACCATTACCTCGTCATCGTAGCCTTCTGGTCTCCGGGTAACAGCGCGCGGTGGTGGCGGACGAGCATACACGATCTCAGGTCTTTCCGCAACCACACTTTGGGGCCGAGGCGGCTCGATGTACTCCCGGCCGAAAGCATCAACAACGATGCGAGTGGCGGGCACCCTGGGAGGAGGGGCCATTGGCTGTGCAACACGCTCGTACGCAACTGGTGATCGTGAAGAGCGCTCACGATACGCTGCTGGGCGCATGCTCATCCTTGAAGCAGCACGAACATCGCGATAGTAACCATCATCTGCCGGAGGGACATCGTAGATCACGTTCCTCGGAGCAGCGCGCACCTCGCGGGGGGCGTAAGGGGAAGGATGCACGCCTGGCGATCCGGGCAACCGACCACCGCTGAGTGGTGCTCTGGGATCATCGTAGTAGACCCTTTCATACCTGGGGGTAGCGAGCAGAGGCTCGCCCTCGAGACGAGGACGAGGGTCGATTTCCCGCTCATATCCCACAACCCGCTCCTCCCTCTGTACTCTTGGCTGCAGGCGCTCTTGGTAGGCACCCTCTACGGAACCTGGCTGTCCATACCTTGCATCATCATAGTCAGGCGGTGGGTGTTGTGGGTGCCCCTGTTTTTGACGCTTAGTAGGACGCGTGTACTGCGGAGCTGACATGGGAGAGGGGGATCGCGGTTCAGGCTTAATGTACGGCGATGCGGCAGCGGCCTCCGCAAGTCGATCTGCCTTTCTCTTCTTTTTCTTGTTCTTCTTCCTGTCCCCAGGCCTTTCTCCTCCGTGGGGTGAGCTTTCCGGACTAGAGACAGCTGAGGGCTGCTTCCTGAGAGCAGCGACCCCCTGGGCCGGAGCCGGAGTGGCCCGACGACCACCGGTCTCCGATAGAGCAATCGGCTGTTCAAGAGCAGCAGTAGGCAAGGGCGAGACACGGGATGGCTGTGGTGCGAAAGGGGAAAGATTATGAGCACGAACAACCGGTGACCCCTCAGGCCCTAACGCCTGTCTCAATAGCTGCTCGTTAACTCTCGACAAGTCTCGCGAGCCACCACCCCGTTCCTTTCCTGTATGGGTCGACTCTTCGGAGCGACTTGCCGGGCCACTATCACGAGAACTGACAGCTTCGGACGGAGGAAATTGGCGAGCAGCCCGGCTGACACTTGTAGCTGCGCTCGACGTGCCCGGCACGTTTACGTTGAACGGTTGGGGGACACTGGTGGCGCTGCTTGAGGCGCTGTGTACTTGCTGCTGTTGAGCATTTGCGATCGGGAGGTTTGTAGGTGCTGCCGGCGCGCTCGGGAGAGCAGGCTTGGGTTGCTCGGCTGGGACGGCAACGGGCTCGAGGTCTAGCTCGGGTTCGTACGGTGATCCGTCGCGCATCTGCTCGTCTTCGGACTCGGTAGGAACGCGAGCTAACTGGTGGTGAGAGTCGGGCGTGCCGTGCTGGCTCGAGTAAAAGGTGTTGTCATCGAATGAGTCGCCCGAAGCTGAAGCGTTAGCAACAGTGTCATCAGTAGTTTGAGCAGCATTTGCTTGAACCAAGACCAAGGCTTTCGCCAACACATTGGCAATGTCGAAGTCAGCAGGCTGCTCGGACGGTTGCAGGGCGCCTTTCTGGGACACCCGCCGCTGTTCGACGTCCTCGCGGAGAGAACGCTCGATCCGCTGTCTCTGCAGCTGAATCTCGGCCTTGATCAAATCATCCGATTTCTCCAGCAATATCGGGTTGATTTCAACTTTGGGCTTGGACTGCTCGCTAGAAGTGTTGGACAAGGTCCCCAAGCCAGGCACATGCCCACCCAGATTCACCGCCGGCTTCTTGAGGTTTGCCTGGTAAGCCTGGAAGTTATCAGTCATTGCGCGGTTCCCATTCACAGCCGGCTTTGCTCCTCCAGGCGCCTGGCCTGCTGAAGCGGCGGAGGCATTGGCTGGCGGGACAGGGCCAGGGCCAGGGGTCGGTTTTCCAACGTGTGTTGGCTTAATGCGCGGATGTGTACCGCTGACCACCTCATCGCGGAAGCGCAGGATCTTTTCGTACTGCTCGAGTTCATGACGCTCTTCAGGTCTGAGCGTTGCCATCAGTGATGCATTCGCGGAAGCCGATCGTCCCACTGTCCCTCCAAGCGGACCTCCTCTTGCGGGCATTGCAGCCACTGCCGGTCCTCCCGCCATCTGTTGTTTTCTCTTGGTCGTAGAAGAAGCCCAGCTCAGTACACCGAGCAATTGACCGGATGCCACCGATATGTAATCCTAACAATCTTGGTGCAGGTGTTTATATAGATGGTACAGTCGAAAGAGAAAAGAAGAAGAAAAGAAGAACCAATCGATGCGCTATTCCAGTCCCTATACCGTGTTGATTAGCAGCGGTGGTGAACAATACAATACGAATCTCGTCTGCAGACCACCGGAAGATGGAAGTGCAGAGTTGGACGAAGTGGAAGAAGAGCAAAGTGTTGGTGATGAAGTGGAAAAGCAGACAAGGAGCTCCGAGCACAATTTGGCGTCCCGTCACTTTTGATCGGCGCTGGCCCAAGTCGCCAAGCCCGCTAGCGACAATGGCGCACGGGCCATCCTGAGTGAACCTTGGTGGTTCTTGGCAGCTACCATGACACCGGCTGTCGGATAGAAGGAGCACATCGGCCTGAGTCAACTGAAGGATGTCCAACGAGTCGTCTTGGGAGGAGACGGAGGAACCGGATAGAAGTCATGCTTGATGTCATAAGAAGAAGTATATAAAGAGGAAGAAAGTTGGTTGAACTTGATGGGAAAGAAGGAAACCGAACAATCATATCTGTAGCTAACCTACCAACCGAGAAGACAATCATCTTTTTAAGATTCAAGGACACAAACCCACGGCATCTTTTTGACAGGCACGCACTTACACAAGGAGACAAACCACAACAGTTGAGTTGGCACTTTCACTTTCACTTTACCAACACCAACACCATATAAACCAGACGGGAGCCAACATTGCAACACCAACACCTGAACCGTCCAACAACTACAAAACTTGAGGAGGACAAACAAATCCCCATCTCCAGCAAATTCGCAGTGAATCTTGAACAACGCAAAGACCAGACTGGAGCCCAGAACCACAGAGACGATGGCGGCCCAAGAAACAAACACCACCAACGGCAATGGCCAACCAGACAACCGCGTCGTCTTCTTCTTGTAAGTGATAAGCCATCTGAAGAGTCTGTGTGAGAGCCGAATAACAACTAACCCGGTCCACAGTGACATTGACAACTGCCTCTATCCCAAGAGTGAGTGATACGAGCCATCTGAACTAAACCAGCCATATACACCATTCACAGTGATAGCAAAAACTCACACACCCCCCACCAAAAAACAGGCGCCAAAGTCCACGACCTAATGGCCGACCTAATCGACCAATACTTCCAACGCCACCTCAACCTCCCCAAGGAGGACGCCGTCCGGCTGCACAAGGAGTACTACCAAAACTACGGCCTGGCCATCGAAGGGCTCGTCCGACACCACCAGATCGACCCGCTTGAGTACAACGCCAAGGTGGACGACGCGCTGCCGCTGGACAACATCATCAAGCCCAGCGATTCGCTCAAGAAGCTGCTGGCGGATATCGACAAGAGCAAGGTCAAGCTGTGGCTGTTTACGAACGCGTACATCAACCACGCGAGACGGGTGGTCAAGTTGCTGGAGATTGAGGAGTTCTTTGAGGGCATCACGTTCTGCGATTATAGCCAGACGCCGCTGGTTTGTAAGCCGCATGAGGATATGTTTAGGAAGGCGATGGGGGAGGCGGGGGTGGAGAGGTCGGAGGATTGTTATTTTGTTGGTGAGTACATATCCTCTCTGGTGTTTCAACTGTCTGAAGTGCTGGTGATAAGAGCGTTAAGCTAACATCATGAATAGATGATTCCTACTTAAATTGCAAGAAGGCGCAGGAGCTGGGGTGGACGACGGCGCACTTGGTGGAAGAGGGCGTGAAGCCACCGAAGACGCCAGCGTCCAAGTACCAAATAACCACGCTGGAGGAGTTGCGGACGGTATTCCCAGAGCTCTTCAAGAAGGACGAGCAATGAGGGTTTGGTGGTATGATGGGGAGGAGTATGTACGGCTCAGCAATGATAGATCAGGGAGTTGGATCTTGCATATGTGGCTGGAAATCGTTCAGTTTTGTTTCCCTTCGGACTCTCTTTGTCCCCTTCCTTCGAAGGTGCATGTGTATTGTGACGCGAAAGCCAAGTATTCTTTCCTTCTTGTACTAATTCCCCTAAAAACGCCGTTATTCCCAATCCCCTAAGGAAGAGCATATCCCGTACTTAGTCGCTTAAACCAAATGTCCCAACCGTTTGCCAGCACCGTACCCATGCATGCTTTAAACCCATTCCTCAACAGTTTGTTTCACCCAATCAATACCTCCTAATACTCCTCAAAGTCTGATCCAACTTAACCAACACCTCATCCTTCTCCTTGACCGCCTCCTGCCTTTGTTTTTCGGCAACCGTCAGCTCCTCCTCCAGCTCCTTGATGCTCTGCATCTGGTCGTGCTCGCTATTATCGAGGCCCGGCAGACTAGAAATCAGGTACTCGATCTGCTGCTCTCGCGTGATCAGATCGCGCGCGAGCTCGAGCTGCCCCGCTTGGAACACGTCGGGCGGGAGGGTGTCGACTTCGGGCGGCTGGTCGGTTTTGGAGGGCGCGATGGTGTCTTTTGGGCCGAAGGTTTTGAGGTCGTGGTGCCGGTCGATGTAGAAGTAGGTGGCTATGAATTGCTCCATTAGCTGGAGGGGGTGGGGGTGTTAGCAGGTGGTTGGATAGTAAAAGGGAAACGTTGAGGGGAGTCGCCGGGTTGGGGAGGAGGACTCACCTGGTCAACAGCCTCCTGGAGCTGGGAGAGACGGTCGCTCATTATGGTGGTGTTGGTGTTTGGATATTTGGTAGATTCGAAGCTGCGAAGAGGCTCGGTTTGCGCAGTCGGGTAGAGGATCAACGCGATGGTGGCCGCCTGTGAAGACCGAAGACGGGAGCTGTCACTGCCAGGAACTGAATGAATGCTTGAACCGCGACGACCGCGACGACCGCGGGGGATGTGCATCATAGTGCATGCAGGATCCAGACGGGATGGATCCACTATTGACACAATGCGACCCACTGAGAAATGAAAGCTTTATCCAATGAGCGAAAGAGGTTTGGCTGCGGCCCGATCCACCATGCATCCATCATCAACTTTATCAAATTCGACATGGCATTTCATACTTGGTGCAAGTTGAAAACAACACAAAATTAACACTGACTCTTTGTCAAATCGACATGGAAATCATACGATCAACTTGAAGAGCCAATTATCCAGCCAATTGGTTGTATGGAAGATCTACAACAGAAAGAAACAGCAGATATCAAATACTTGAGCGCATAGGCTGAAAATCACCATGAGGCCCATGGCTGCACAACTTTCCCGGCTCACACTCGGAGCGCGCCGATTATACTGCAGCCCGGGCTCTCAACCGCTCCGGCGCTTCTCCTCCGACCATGCGCCAAGTCCAAAAGATACTACCGCCGAGTCCTCCGCAGACCCTTCGCCGGTCACCACTACCCCCAGCAGCATCACCAACGCCTCAGATGATCGAGGACGTACTGATCCCAACATTCCACTTTCCAAGTCCTCCAACCACCACAACCTTGCCTCATTCCTCCAGTATGCCAAGCGAACCGGTCTCGGTCAAGAAACCACCATCTTTGTTGGAACACACTACGAATACACAATAGCCTCCCTCTTAACCGCGTACGGCTTCTCTCTCAACCGGGTAGGCGGGCAACACGATTTCGGAATCGATCTCCTCGGCACCTGGTCCGTACCGACGGCCGAACGTCCGCTACGAGTCATCGTGCAGTGCAAGGCCATTCAAAGCACTCGTCCTCATCTGATCCGGGAGTTGGAGGGCGCATTCGTGGGAGCGCCAGTTGGATGGAGAGGGTCGGAAGTATTTGGCGTCTTGGTGGCCTCGAAAATAGCCACAAAGGGAGTCCGAGACGCGCTGGCGAGGAGTCGGTGGCCTTTGGTGTTCATCGGATGCTCGAGGGAGGGGAAGGTTGAACAGCTCTTGTGGAATCACCGCGCCGAGCAGGAGGGGCTGCAGGGGTTGGGGGTTGCGAAGCGACATTCTCCGGAGGGCGGGGAGCAGTTGGTGTTGACGCACAAAGGAAAGCATCTTCCGTTGATCAAAGTGGAAGGAGGCTTGCCGGAGTCGAGCGGTGCTGAGCAAGGTGAAGCTTCGGAAAGTATAGATAGAAAAGATGGTTCCGCCTGATGTTGATGACACATTTGAGGATGTGAGAGATATGCTGTGTAAAATGTATTTCCATGCCCCGGCTGGGATACTCGGCAGGTCTTGAAATGTTTATAGTCCAGTGCTGTTGGGCTTTTTGTCATTTCAAGACCTGCCGAGTAGGCGGCTGGACTTTCTCTGAGCTGGGTGGAATGCTCTTAGTCTTCCCAAATCGCCTGCTTGGCTTTTAAGGCCTCCTCCTCTGCCTTCTTCTTCCGCTCTCTCTCCTCCTCCTTTCTCTTGCGCTCCTTCTCGCGCAAGGCCCGGTCGTAGGCCTTTTGCTCCTCGGTCAGTTTGGGTGCTTTCAGCCCAAGAGCACCGGCGATCATGCGGCGGGCTACTGCGTCCGTCTTCTCCGGCCTCTTGTACTCTGAGGAGGCAGCATTGCTGGCGCTGCCTGGCCCACTGTAGTCGAGGTATGGTGGAATCGAAGTGGTAGCTGATGGTTCTGGGTTTCTGCTGCGTGAAGATGGAGGAGATGGGGCTCTTTCTTCATCACTGTTGTTGTCGTCCTCCCACGATTCCGGCTCCGCGTCAAAGTCACGCTCACGCTCAGACTTCTTTTCAGTCTTGGCCTCGGGCTCGGACTCCGAACTGACATCTTCGTCTTCCCAACTGTCGGCGACAGGCTCTGACTTGTTCGCCTTGGCTTTGGCAGTGTTCTTGAGTGACATCTTGGAGGTGTCGTCGAGATGTATGTGAGAGGATGTTGAAGTGGATGCTCCTGTGATCAGGTCTCCAGTCGAAAGGATATTGTCTGATCAATTGGTGTTCTATATAGCTGATAGTCGGAGCCTGTGGTATAAGTGTTGTGAAAGTTGAAAGAGGACATTACCTTCGACTTGGGCGTTCTGATATGCGGGCTGCTGCCCCTACGGAGAGCTGTCAGCGAACGTGCCTGCCGATGCCCCGCTCCGGATCGGTGCTGCTATGCTCGCCGTAACCTCTCCGGCAGCAGTGCTACAGGTGCGACTTGACGGTTATGAGTTGACGATCTAGACCAGAACTGGTCAAGCGGCTTGGCGACCGGGCGCTAAACCAACAGTGATGGAACTGAAGCCCGTCCTGTCCGGTCTGGAGGCGGACGAGCTGTTAGCGGGCAGGTACGTACCTTTTGTACCGTGACGCAACCGGGACGGTACCTAGAAGACAGTAATGTAATTCCTCCATCTTCTACCGCCGGCCGAAGACCGAGGGAGCTTCCCGGTCGCTGTTCGCCTTCCCGTCAAGTTGATTATTCATACATTCTGCCAGAGACAGAGACAGAGAGTCATGGGCCTTGGGTTCCTCGGAGTCGTCGTCCTACCTCGCTACCTCTACACACACTGAAAAGCCCCTTCATCTTCTTATCTTTGACTGTATACTATTTTACAACTGTAAACTTTTTTTTCCCAAATCCCGCCGCATCGCCGCATCTCCATCTCCCCGCGCCGCGACCTCTCCCGCCATCCCACTCTCAACCACATCCATCCGCCCCTCCGACCGCAACTCCCGTCCACCGTCGCCTTTGGTCCGATTTTGGGTCCGCGCTCCCAAATAAGACGACACTCCTCCTCACGAAGCTCGACCTCTACGATATCCTTTTACTTATCCAGGCCCGCTCGACATTGCCTGTATTCAAGATGCTGTCCCGACAGCGCATTCCGCGCATCCTCGCGTCGAGGACCTCGCTCGCGCATTCGATTAGGTCTTCCAGCTTGACCACTTCTTCGATACGCCCTCTCGCCGCGGCTGGGCAACATGCCGTGACCCGGCCCCGACACGAAAGACCGACGACCCTCTCGAGTTTCTCGACTTACACTGCTTTGGGGAAGAAGAACGCCAAGGGCTTTTTCGACAACTCGATCGAGCCGCTATCAGAGGAGGAGCGCAAAGCAAACGTTGAGCACGCCGAGGCCGAAGCAAAGGAGGCTGAAGCAAAGGAGGCCGAAGTAAAGGAGGCCGAATCGAAACAGGCCAAGTCCAAGTCCTCGACCTCGGATGCCCCGGCGGCGCCAGAAGATGGAAAGGCTGGCGCTGCTGGCGGTTCATCTGCCGGCTCGGGCTCGGGCGCAGACGGTGGTTCCGGAGATGGTGGCAAGCGAGGCCGCAAGCCCGGTGATAAGGCATTGGCGAAGCCCGTTGTACCAGAGATCTACCCCCAGGTCATGGCGATCCCTATAGCGAAGCGACCGCTGTTCCCCGGCTTCTACAAGGCCATCACTATCAAGGACCCCAATGTCGCTGCTGCTATTACAGAAATGATCAAGCGCGGACAGCCATACGTGGGAGCTTTCTTGTTCAAGGACGAGAACGCCGACGACGATGTTATCCGGAACCGCGATGATGTCTATGACGTCGGTGTTTTTGCGCAGATTACCAGCGCTTTCCCCATGAACAACCAGAACGGCGAGGGTACTAGTCTTACCGCGATCCTTTACCCCCACCGGAGAATCAAGCTGTCGGAGCTTATTCCTCCTGGCTCGCCTGAGGCTGCTTCAATCGATGGTGCGAAGGAGGGTGCTGCCCCTGAGCCGGCACCCGAGCCGATTCCCAAGGTGACCGACGAGTCCGAGCAAAAGGGTGACGTGGTGGCGAGCTTTGAGGAAAGCGCTGTGACACCTAGGCCTGAACCAAGCCAGAAGCCCTACGAGCCGACATCGTTCCTCAAGAAGTATCCTGTTAGTCTTGTTAATGTAGAGAACTTGACGGAAGAACCCTACGACCCCAAGAGCCAGGTTATACGAGCCGTTACGAACGAGATCGTAAACGTCTTCAAGGAGGTCGCTAGCATGAACAGTCTCTTCCGGGATCAGATTTCCACCTTTAGCATGAGCCAATCGACCGGTAATGTCATGGCTGAGCCAGCCAAGCTTGCTGATTTTGCCGCTGCTGTCAGCGCCGGTGAGCCTGCTGAGCTTCAAGAGGTTCTTTCTAGCCTGAACGTGGAAGAAAGAATGCACAAGGCTCTTCTTGTCCTGAAGAAGGAGCACGTTAACGCTCAGCTTCAGTCCAAGATTACCAAGGATGTAGAGCAGAAGATCACCAAACGCCAGCGTGAATACTGGCTTATGGAGCAGATGAAGGGTATCAGGCGCGAGCTCGGTATCGAGTCTGACGGCAAAGACAAGCTTGTCGAAAAGTTCAAAGAGCTCGCCGACAAGCTGGCTATGCCCGAGGCCGTGCGCAAGGTGTTTGATGACGAGCTGAACAAGCTCGCCCATCTTGAACCTGCCGCTTCCGAGTTCAATGTTACGCGCAACTACTTGGACTGGCTCACCAACATTCCTTGGGGCCAGAGCAGTGCCGAGAACTTCGATATCCTGAACGCTATGAAGGTTCTGGATGAGGATCACTATGGTCTCAAGGATGTCAAGGATCGTATTCTCGAGTTCATTGCCGTCGGCAAGCTCCGCGGCACCGTCGAGGGCAAGATTCTCTGCTTCGTCGGTCCTCCGGGTGTCGGTAAGACTTCCATTGGCAAGTCGATTGCTCGCGCACTTGGCCGCCAGTACTATCGCTTCAGTGTTGGAGGTCTTACCGATGTTGCCGAAATCAAGGGCCACCGCAGGACGTACGTTGGTGCCCTTCCCGGCCGTGTCATCCAGGCCCTCAAGAAGTGCAAGACCGAGAACCCCTTGATCTTGATCGACGAAATCGACAAGATTGGTCGTGGCTACCAGGGAGATCCCTCGTCTGCGCTTCTCGAGCTCTTGGACCCCGAGCAGAATGGCTCTTTCCTGGACCACTACCTGGATGTCCCTGTTGATTTGTCCAAGGTGCTTTTCGTCTGCACGGCTAACCTGACTGACACCATCCCACGGCCCCTTCTCGACCGTATGGAGGTCATCAGACTTTCCGGATACGTCGCCGATGAGAAGATGGCCATTGCCGAGAAGTACCTTGCTCCTCAGGCTCAGGAGATGGCTGGTCTTAAGGGTGTTGATGTGCAGCTAACAAAAGACGCGATTGAGGAGCTCAACAAGTCCTACTGCCGTGAGTCAGGTGTCCGTAACCTCAAGAAGAAGATTGAGCAGGTTTACCGCAAGTCTGCCCTGAAGATCGTTCAGGACCTCGGTGAGCAGGCCCTGCCCGAATCTGAAGCTCTTACCGAGGAGGGTAAAGCTGCCCAGAAGGAGACGGAGAAGAAGAAGAGCGAGGAGGCTGAGTCCGGCGAGACCAGCAGCCCGAAGGCCGCCACCGAAGCTTCTGAGAAGGAGACCACGGAGAAGCCTCGGGTCGCCATGAAGATTCCTGAGGACGTCCATGTCGTTATTAACAAGGACAACCTCAAGGACTACGTTGGACCCGCGATCTTCACTTCTGACAGGCTCTATGATGTGACACCCCCTGGTGTTACCATGGGTCTGGCCTGGACCTCCATGGGTGGCGCTGCCATGTATGTCGAGTCTATCCTCCAGAGCGCGCTCACCTCCAAGAGCTCGCCATCTCTCGAGATTACCGGTAACCTTAAGACGGTCATGAAGGAGTCTTCCGCTATCGCCTACTCGTACGCCAAGGCGGTCATGGCCAAGGACTTCCCCAACAACCGCTTCTTCGACAAGGCCAAGATTCACGTGCACGTTCCTGAGGGCGCTGTGCAAAAGGATGGTCCTTCGGCCGGTATCACCATGACGACCTCTCTGCTGTCGCTTGCCCTCGATACTCCTATTGATCCTCAGATCGCCATGACCGGCGAGCTTACTCTGACTGGCAAGGTGCTCCGTATCGGTGGGTTGAGGGAGAAGACTGTGGCCGCTAGGAGAGCTGGCTGCAAGATGGTCCTGTTCCCTGAGGACAACCTGTCTGACTGGCTTGAGCTTCCTGAGGTAAGATTACATCCTGTCCAACCCTTATAAGATGTTATACAAATCGCTAACGTTTTCCTCTCTAGAACGTCAAGGAAGGTATCGAGGGCCGGCCTGTGCGCTGGTACTCTGAAGTCTTCGACCTGATCTTCCCCAACCTCGACCGGGAGAAGGCCAACAAGAGCCGGATCATCGAGGACGACAAGTCTGAGAAGGAGAAGTCCAAGAAGAACGATGACGACGATTAAACAGCTGTACGGCATGTAAGAGAATGGGGATTGGCATAGGAGCCGAGGATATCAAGCGAAAGATAGTGGAGAATGGCATCATCGTTGGCGTTCAAGGAAAGGAATGGAGTGCGGACGGGCGGCGGTTAATAGAGAAACTAATAACCGTCTTGTTAAACGGAAACGCAGAGCGTCGTTTTTGGTTTTGGGAACATACACACTTTGCACACACATCTTTCAAGGGGGGTTTTACATACATACATACATCTTCACTCTATCATGACCTTTCGAATATCAGCGGCGGCATTGTTGCGTTCTTGGTTCTGGTGTGTTTCAACTTCTTTCTTGTATAATATTACCACTGGTGGTATGGAAAAGTCTTCATGGTTGCTGGTTGGTATGCGTACGTTTATTACTTCTACCAGATACGTTTACCACATTTACCTACCTACCTTCAGATGTCCTTGGAAAGCTTGAGATCCAACTTCAGGCAAGCACAGAACGATGCCCAGGATGCCTAATGCTACCAGTCTACCCACATCCCGTCAGACAACTCTTGACCACGACACAACGTCGCTCAAGGAGTCAAGGACAAGAAAGAGATCTTGGAACCACAAGTCCACAGACACAAGCGAGCAACAACCGGCAGATGATGCGCTCATCGAACATTGCTGAACAACCCCCCAATCCACTTACAACAATACCGTTGCCGCTGTTGCTACTCTCTCACATATCTCGGTTATGTATCCCCTTCCAGCACGAGTCACATATCCTTCCAACTACATATAGTATCCCATCTAGCCATACATACAAGCCAAAGATGCAGCGCCGGCAAAGCGAAGAGGTTGTTGCGGATCGTTCGGTCCCGAAAATATGCAAAGCTTGGTAACGGGATCTGGTTCGCATGTGGGCGGCCTCGATGTGCTCCTACATACTACTGACTACGTACACGGAAGACGGTACGAGTAACGAGGCATGGGTTAAGCGAACTGTATGTATGTAGGGCATCCTGGGCGTGAGTGAGGTGATGCTGCTTGCTGGTGCTTCTGCTGCTGCTGATGGGTGCGGGATGAAAAAGTGACAGACTGTCGGACTGACGGACTGACGTGCAGGCCAAGGATGTTGACGGTAACAGTAGTGATGCTGACGATGATGGTGATGGTGGTGATGGTGGTGATGGTGGTGATGACATGGTAAGTCCGATTTGCTAAAAACCATTTCTGCTTGATTTCTTCCGGAAGAAACCCCCCAAAGAAAACTGCTTTAACCATACCTACCTAAACTCTGACGTTCATTTCATACTTCCAACCGAGCAGCGTAGCTTCTCACAATAATCACAAGCATCGTTCAAAGTCCGTGAAGCAACAAATGGACGTCACATATCACCAATACTCCCCCATCAATATCATCACTGGTCAAAGGGTGTTGTTGATGCCCGAATACATATATCTACCACCAATGCCAGTAGGTTACGGAGATGTTCCTGTTGCTCTTACTGGTCGTTGTTTGGAATTGTTGTTGTTGCGCAGTTGGACATCTGTATATCTGTCCATCCACTGACAGCAGTCAGGCGCTTCCATTACACAGTGGTATCTAGATACCTGTCAACTTCAGTCATCATCATCGTCGACTAATCGGCCGGCCGCCGTTGTAGTACTTTTCGTCGTTCAAATATGATGTACTGTACTGCATATGTGCCCCATGAATGGACCATGGCATGGCATACATGGCATATGAATGGCTTGGTTGTACCGGTAGTGACTGTAGGGTAGGTAGGTATGTTACCATGCCATACTTCCCGTCCCGTTATCCAGAGGAATCAGAAGCAGAAGCAGAAGCAGAAGTAAAAAAAAAAAAAAGCAAAAGCACCGGGATCGATACCCATCCATACAGATCAAAAGGAGAGAGAGGAAAAACGGGGCTGCAGCCGAAAGAGCATTTTGTTGCCACTGGCTCTGAGCGGGAGTTGAGGTTTGCGGCTACGATTGTGTTGAATGTTATTCGACAGCTCGGCCTTGACGCCCGCCCGCTTTCATAATGTGCCCGCAGAGGATTAAACTGGCCAATGTGGACTCTATCCGATGGATGGATGGTGAGAGGCGAGTCCATCCATTCAGTCCCTCCCTCCCGTTGAGCGGGCGTGCCGTGACGGGAGCGGGGGAGGCGGTTTTATGGATGCTTGAGATGATGGGATCTAGAAACTGCAGAAAGAAAGGGCTGAAAACACCGGAGATATCCCTACCTGGATTTTATGTCGACAATCACCACGACGTTGTAGGAAAGGGATATTTCCCAGCGACACCTTACTCGATTTTGAGAATAAACGAGAAAGCCAGACAGTGATGTACTCATATCAAGAACACAGACCCAGCTATCTATCTGCCTGAGGCCTTGGGTTGCCGTTCGAGATCCCCCTCGACTGCCTCCAGATGTGACCTGTCATGTCTCACGAAGAAAGGATAAGGCGGCTCTGGGCTGGGAGTGAGCGAATATTCTCAAACTGCCGGAATTCGTGGCCAGGATCGGATGTCCTCAGTATCCCAACGTTTACTGATGGCTTCACTCTTCACTTTCGGAGCCTTATCACGAGAACAAAACATGGAGTGTGGGGGATGGGGGATATACCCTTGGTCAGCCCCAGACCAAAGAGAGCGTTCGGTATCCGTCCGGCTGGGCAAATTCCTGTTGCAGACTTGAGCCTCGTCTACCTACCTCTACTCTCGGGGAGCTACCCCAAGCTTATTGTGCGGCTCAGCAGCCTGCCCTTGCCCTTGCTCTGCTCTTGAGGCCCACAGGCACGGACGAACAAACCCGATCTTGGGGGCGCATGGTTCGGATACGGATTTGGTTGCCGAAAATGATGATGACGATGATGACGATGATGACCGGGCGTGGGCGCGGATGTCGCCGTCTGAGTACATGGTGTATTGAGGCTCACGACTTGCTTGATGCCGGTAACCCCGAAGCGTTCGGACAGAACTAAGCAACTGCGTCGGTCTGTCTGTCTGACTGAAACTTTGACCGCCTTGGGGGCGTAAGTAAAAATGATCCATGAGGAATCAGGATAATATGCGTCTTCTACCCGGCGGTCTGATTCATCTCGACAATCTCGAGTGGGCGTGTCAACCCAAGTCTCGGGATCAGAATATCGACGGCCACAGGAACAAGTGGAGGAAGTGAAGTGTCTCTGAAGTGTCTTCCTCCAGAAAAGCGCCTGAAGCGGATCGCCAGAGCCCCTGTCGACCCGTTGCCCAGAAGGGAAACAGTGCCTTTATAGGGCTGGGAACTGTATCCACACACACACTAACAACACCCTTGCTTCTTCCCCATTTTTTCTTGAAGCTGGAGCTGAGGGTGATCTTCTTTTCTCGGATTCTCTTGTCAAAAAGATGAACCCCTCATTTTCTCTTCAGGCTCGCTTCGCGCGTTAGTGGTTAAACTACCCCTCAGATGATGATCATGGGCCACGGGGTCTGTTTTTTGTTTACTCTCAAGTCTGGATAAGCGCTGTATCCAACATGAGGTCAGTTCTCTCCTCAGATCGAGATGTCATCCACTTTGGGTCTTGATGGCATACGAGGATCGGCCAGTAAATCAGGCACTGAGAACGACAAGCTTGAAACCTATCTCCCCTCTGTCTGGCAAAGCTACCCGCCAACGTCTCTGCCCTGCCCTGGAGGGAAAAGGAAAGGTCGTAACCCAAAGACCCACGCATGGCATGGCATCCAACACCCAATGCCTGGAATGGAGTCCATGAGATGGATGGCATGCATGTGTTAATTGGGAGTGTTCCAGGCATGCGCCGACCTCTCACTGGCTGCCCATACTTTTACCCTTGGTTACACGTCACGGTCTTAAACTCCACTGGGAAATGCACCCAGCCCCCGTGCGTGCTCACACCTTTTCGAGACACCCTACACAGCCTCCTTCAATCGAATTGGCCTGTCATCCCACTGCCACCCTTCCTTTTTCCAGAGCTTCAGGTCTGCAGGAGACCCGAAAGGAAGAAGGCCTCAGGACACGAGACCCGGAGAAGGGTGGAAGACAAACGAGAACCAAAGGATGTCATGTACGCCTTCGAGTGTGCATAATGTGCATAACAGAGCGGGCAGTTGACGTTCCTGGGGACGGTAGAGAACGCGGGACCTGAAGTTGGCCTCAAAAAAGGGCCCCCGGACCAGGCACTCAGGCACTCCGGGGCAGAGAGCCAAGACAGCCGGCCAGGGGTAAAAGAAGCCTAGGGAGGGATCCATCTCAGGCAGCCTCAGGTGGCTGTAGGTTGTTTACTGGCGTCTATTTGTTGTACGGCCGTTTTACAAATCACGAGGGATTGCTGTCCAAAGACCCCAATATGGCCAATGGCAAGATCCGATACACTAGTCAGGCCAGGCACCTTGAGGGTTGCAACTAAAACCAAGTCACGGCGGTTGGGACGATCTGATGGAGGGTCTCATGATGACAGCTGAAAGGTAGACGGAGCTTCAAAAGGTATCATCACTCCATCCTCCACATCACCCAACACCCCCGCAGACCAAATCCTTGGAACCTCCATGCTTTCCCAGATCACAAAATCTTATATCCCACCTTTTATACCTTATACCTTGCCAAATATCCCCGATCTTATTGTGTGAACGTGAAAGAGGCGCACGAAGCACGGCGTCTATCAACATTCATCACGGTTAGCTCGGTAAAAGACACAACCCCTCCAACAGCTCACGAGCTCACGTTATCATCAAGGCATCCTCGTGTCCCGATTCACAACCACAAACACAGCAAAGTAGCTATCCGACCCGCAACACCTTCGACACAGCCCTGGACTAATCAACTTGACTGGGGAGGAGAGGCGGGGAATTATCACCAACCACAAGACTTTCCCCTCGACAACTGAGAAAGCAAAAACATAACGCATCTGCTGGTTTCAACTGGGTTTCTTTGTATGGCGTCTTTGAACATCGACCACTTCACCAAGCGCTGCCATTGCTGCTGGATATACGGCGCCTAATGGTCTTTGCGCCGGCAGTCTGCATGATTGCTTGTCTTTGATGTAAGGTTGCGCCATCTTGCTTGCTTGCATCTTCCAAGTCATTATTGCCCCTGAGCCAAGTGGTGATACAACTCCTTTTCTTGCCTATCCCGATGGTCTATAGGACTGGCCTGAGAAGGTCTAGCCGATAGGCCGTTAGGAGGTTGGAGGAGATTGAGGCTGGTTATGCGCCAGTCCAGAAGCTGTTTTCTCGCCACCAAGTAATTTCGGGGTTGCACAATATGCCTGACGTTTTCCAAGTCTCTTCACTTTCTCTTGACTCACGGTGCTGACCATATAATTCTGTTTAGTCCTCCCTTACAGCCCCCTGGGTAAACTTTCAAACCTCTTAACCTCCAAAGGTCTTTATGGCTCAAGTGCAACCGCAGCTTCCCCTAGCTTTACGGAATCCAGCATCGGTTTTACCTGCAGATGGCGATTGGCCCCCACACCACAATAACTGGTGGCAAAAAATGCATCTCTGGCGGGATCATAAGGACGGCAGTGGTGATGGTCAAGGTGCCCATGATGCCGGGCCGGGATTAGGATTGGGATCAGCAGGAACAGCAACGGAACCGGGATCGGGAACAGGAGGAGGACAGGGAGGAGAGGGAAACATTACCACGAGTCCGGGTTCACAAACACAGCAGCAGCAGCACGATGACGGAGGCTCAAACAAACAAGGCACCATTCGCCGAAACATTCGAAAGGTGGTTCCCGGCCTGCCTCGAGCTCAGACATTCAAGAGACAGCAATCCGAACAGCGCGATCATCTCCAACCTGTACAACCCACCCCTGCCGAGCGCAGAGTTGCTTCAGTCGATAGACGCATGCACGCGACAAACAGTGCATCGACATCGCTGGTTGGATTGGGTGTAGGAGCCGCCGCCTCGCTTCCCAGGAGTAGCGCGCCAAACTTCCATCATCATCACCACTTCGGCCGCTCTTCCTATATCTCCCAGGCCGACTCTTCTGTTCCTTCGTTGCCAGCGATCCCTCAAGAACATGCGACAGTGAACAGCAGTATCCGTGGCCTAAACGGACATGAGCTAGAGCAAGAACTCGACAAGAACTACCTCGACCACAACCGTCTGTTGCGAGCTCCTGGTCTTGCTCATGTTCATGGGTCGGATGCTGCCGTCTCGGATTGCGATGCGCACTCGATAACATCCTCCCAGTACCACAACATGATACACGACGAGCTGGAGAAAATATGGATCCTCAATCTGTCGATGCACTTCCGCGACAAGTCCAAGAGGGAGAAGTTCTTTGTGACATACCGACAGAATGACTCGCTATGGCGTAGAGTGACGATATCGTTGGACTACCGTGATGCCCAGGAGGGTTCATTGGAGGAGGAGCTAGTCGATATCAAGTTCCAGCGCGACAAGAGTTCGAGGATATACGAGGCGATTCGAGACAGCCTGGGTGACATCCAGTTCTACCCTACCGTTACAAATTTGAAGCTCCAAACCACGGAAAAGAGGTTACATGTCCACGTGGTGGAAGACGTCAATGTGAGTCCTGCTACCCTCGGTAAGCACCAACTCACCATACTAACACCAACCCCCCTCCCCAGGAAATCATCAGCTACCCAACCGTGCGCATGATCCAACACATGCGCTGCCGCCGCATCAAAGAATCCGAAGTCGAATTCGACTCCCACCTCTCCGGCTTCGTCTACAAAGTCCGCGTCAACGGCGAGACTCTGATCAAGAAAGAAATTCCCGGCCCCGACACCGTCGATGAATTCCTCTACGAGATCAACGCGCTCAACCGCTTACGCGCCGCCGAAAATGTCATCGAGTTCTATGGCGTCATCGTCGACGAATCGGGCGAGCACGTCAAGGGTCTGTTGATCAGTTTTGCCGAGCACGGTGCCCTGATAGATATCATCTACGACTACCAACTCCAGGGCGGCCTTCCCTGGTCGACGCGCGAGCGCTGGGCGCGCCAGATCGTTGGTGGTCTGGCGGATATTCACGAAGCGGGGTTCGTTCAGGGCGATTTCACGCTGTCAAACATCGTCATCAACAATGAGTGGAACGCCAAGATTATCGACATCAACCGCCGCGGTTGTCCAGTGGGGTGGGAGCCGCCTGAGGCGACGCCGTTGATTGAAAGCAGTCAGCGGATATCCATGTACATCGGCGTCAAGTCGGATCTGTACCAGCTGGGCATGGTCCTGTGGGCTCTTGCAACGCAAGAGGATGAGCCTGAGGCTCATGGCCGGCCGTTGAGGATTGGGCCCGAGGTTACGGATGTCCCGGATTGGTACGTCGAGATTGTGAATATCTGTCTGGACCCCAACCCCCGCAAGAGGAGACAGGCGCTTGATCTGCTGGATATGTTCCCGGAGCCGGAGCCTGTGGAGCACAGTCAGTATAGCTATCATAACCCGGAGTCGGTGTCGGTTGATGATGGCTACTCACGCCAGGAGTATCTGGTTGGCACGGAGCCGACGAACGGGGTACCGAAGATTATCAAGACGGTTGAGTCGCCGTCGGATCGTGGGTGGGATTATTTCAGCAGTAATGCTCCTGGAGCAAGCGGTATCGGAAGAGGTCGTCAATCTGCGATTTCTCCTGCACCGTCGGAAGACCAACACTGGTACCCGCCACGGGGTAGATCACCACCTTCTCCTCTCCCGAGTGATGGCGGGTACGATGACCCGGCGAGATTCCGACATCACCTGCGTCCTTGGGGAAACAGCAGTACTTACCAGGAGCCAAGCAACTTGACCGTTCCGTCTTTTGGCGAGTCTGGGCGACAGCACGACACAGAAGGATCCAAAAAGGCTCTCCAACAACACGACCCAAGGATCTCCTCCACCTCCTTCATCTCCACCGCCCCCTCCGGCGACACTGACACCGCCTCAACACCGCTCAAAGACTCGCTCCTCCGGGAAGCCCTCAAGTGGCGACCCGAAACCGCACCTTCCAGCGCCCCCACAGCCGCCAAACCGCACGAACTCACACTCCGCGAACAATACGACTCGGAAGGCCCCAGCAGCAGCAGACCAGCGGAAAACCAATTCAACACGACCCAATCCCACCACCAAACCCGCCCCAGCCGTACTAACCACCACTACGAACCCCAAGACTCGGACGCAGAAGAGGAAGACAACAACAAAAACAAACCCCTCTCCCGCGCCGACTCGGGCAAGTACTTCACCGAGCCCACCAACCTGAAGCCCGGGCCAGATCTAGCCTACGCAGCCATCAACGATGCTCGAGATAGAGACAGGCTGGAGCAGCAGTTTAGGATGGAGGTGGCGGAGGCTATGATGGCTGGAAGGTATCATGGGCAGCATGGGCATGGGCATGGTCATCAAGATGATGATCACCGCGCACATCAGGATCGTGGTGGAGATCGGAATAATACGCACAACAACACACAATTGGAAAGGGATCGGGAGAGGGAATATGAGCGGTATGGTGGTGCAAAGGTGCCGGATGTTTTGAAGGGGATTGGGGGTGGTGCCTCGGGTTGTGCTTATGATTTGCCTATTTCTACGAGGGGTTCCAGCTCCAGGGAGAAGAAGGGGAAGAAGCATTTTGATGATGATGATGATGACGAGGATGAAATCGACATGGATTTGTTCGCCCCTCAACAACGTCAACATCAACATGCATAATTACGAGACGACGAGAACCTGATCACGGCTGCGATTACGAACGGCGACGACAATTAGCGAGGCTGTAAACGAATGAATGGACGAACGAATAGATGGCAGCAGCTGCCAAACAACAACAACAACAACAACAACAACAACCTAACAAAACCACACGAAAACGATATGGACGACAAACAGAATTGATTCTTTCTATCTGCTTATATGCGCTCTTCGCGGCACGACAATTTTGTTTTTTTTCTTCGCAGCAAGAGCTCTGAGGCTCGAACAAGTCAGCGGAAGTGTTGCCAGTTATGGGAGGCCTCCAATCAATGCCCACACCACACACACATACACATACACAACACACGCACCCAAGCTAAAGACCAAGTGGTGGTCTCCCATAACTTAACCTCACAAAGCGAGAACGCAAGCGAGAAAGCAAGAAAGCAAGCATGAATGCAGTGATATAAAGGTACAAACTTGGTACTCACGTTAGTCACGAGGAATAACGTGATGGGAAGGGCATATTTGCATGGGATATTTATGACGGATATTTTATTTTCATATTCTCTTGGTTCGTTCGATAGGTACCTGTCTGTCTCTGGCCTGGGGTGGCATTCTGCTTTTTCTGTTTTTGTTTTTGTTTTTGTATAGCCCCATACACTCATTATGTTGCTTGTTGGGGTGTTTGTTTGTTTATATATACACGTGTGGGATGCCCGGGCAATGAATGTTATAGCTAGCTGTCTACCAGTTATCGGACTTGGGTAGAACGAACGCATGATGAATGACAGTTAGTTGAATGAATCAATCCACTACACACGACTGCATGTTCACTCGTTGTAAGAATGTGATCAACTGACTGTTTCTCGTGTGTGTGACTGGAAGGTAGGTAGGTATGTAATAAGACGATTCAGATTAGCTCGACTAGACTACTCGCTTGATGAAAAGCTAGCAAAATCTTGTAGGTATATCGCAAATACGCATCTCCCCAGCCAGCCCTTAAGAGACTTGCATGGGCTGGACAGTCGAGGATGGAGTTCTTGCTCATCTACCTAATCTACCTACCGGAAACTATCAGCTCAACAATACCACAATTTGTGCGCTGGCTGGCTGCTTTGGGACCACATTCATAGCTAGCTAGAGTCCCTTCCCTGTGTGTCTGTCGCAGGGATAGTTAAGATGGCCGCCGATGAGTGGTATCAAGCTAGACTTGCGTCCCGACGCGACGTGCTCTGATTTTTGAGTGATTAGTTAAAGGCCACTCATGGAGTCATGGTTGCTTAAAGAGAACAGGGGTTTTTTTTTTGTTTTGTTGCTCTCTCTCTGAACGACAACCTTTCGTTAGGAGACTTCAAGACGGGAGGGAGTGCCGAAGAGTCTTTTGAAACGATCGAGCGAGCGAATGACAAGTCATGGACAGGCAATCAATCCTCGGTCACCATAAGTATAGAGTCACATACGGAGGGAGGAGTGATGATTAGAAGTCGGTCGCCCATCACGGATCCAGTCCAGTGTCTTTCATCTGTCGACGTCATGGGCTGTTTCGTTGCCTACCTACCATCCCGATGAAGCCTGACATGTATGTGACGAGAGCTTCAGACTGATCTATCTGTATGCACCCTCAGAACAGCCTGCCTGGTTACCTGTAGCATCTGAGAGTGAAGTGGTCGCCGTCGTTCGTCTCTTCGTACAGCATTCTCTGGTTGAAGACTTTGTTTTGGTGAGTTGACATTAATTCCCTGTCTTGTTCGATGTATGGATCGTCGTTGACTCTCAATCTCTCACATAGGTTTCTCAGCCTCGACTGAGCTAAGAGCTGTAACCTGAGGATAAGACACGAAGGCCCCATCATCACGCGTACTTGGAACTATCTCGAGGCGATACGACCGAGGGTTGGGCGGCTGTCCAGAGAACGAGAACTGGGTGGATGGAGAGATTTGCGTACCGATTTGGTCTAGTTTTGTAGATATTTGACACACCTCAGCCTTTCCTCCTCTGGCCCGGATACTAAACAGAAGACTGATGGAGGAGAGAAAGCCAACGTACGATTAAGCGACCGTTCCCAACGAAACGGAAAACATGGCCTGAGCTCTCAGCCGCTTGGTCTGGATGGCCTGATCACTTTTAACTCTCTTGGCACAACGTTCCCGCGAAGCTAAACGACATTTCATGCTTTGGATGGCCCCTTGATGGCGGGTAGGGCCGACGGACCTGAACCGTAGAGGAGGAGATGCTCGCAGGCCGGATCGGGTTTGGGGTTGACGCCCGAACCCCACCAGGACTTGAACGGTGATGCTCCCGATGCTTATCTCCGCCTCCGGCTCCGTCGCGGCTCCATCTCCGACGCAACTCCCCACGGCATGTCGCCCCCCCACAGGGACCAGAAGAAGGCGGACCAAGATCGAGTTTTTGATTTGATAAATTGCAGAACGGGTGTGGCGTCACATGCACGATTGGCATCTCGGTCTTTCTGGAAGCCTCCTCTTCTTGGCTTACGCAGAGACTATGGCCATCGTTGAAACCTTAGCTAAGCAGGCGGTGGCAGGCGTTGAAATCTTGGCCGGCCAGAATGCGAATAAGCTGATTGGCTACCGGGATACAGAGGTAGCGTCTGGGCGTGCGGGAAGGAATGTTGGGAAATCGGAGCTCGGGCAAGCTTTGTGATGCTGCCCCTGGTTGGTGCTACGTGGGGGTGGTGTCAAAGCGTGAATTCATGATGGGATGAACCGTCATGTCGAATTGATGGCGCGTCGACAGCCACCAGGATGATGAACCAAGGAAAGAGGGACATGGCGGATGAAGGCGCGAACTGATGATTGCGGGCTCCATAACCTCAGCTGCAAGATTAGTTGCAAATCCGGGGAAGGCGCAGTTCACACCCGCGGTTTCGAATCAGGTCGTGGTCCCTTTGATACCAAGTTCTCCAGTGTCGGTGGAAGGAACCTGGAAGCTCCTGCTTCAGTTGCTATCTTGCCTTATCATGGCGGCATTCCTGAAGCGCTCTTCCCCGACTTCCTTGTTGTCCTTGGGGTTTCGTATCGAGTCGCAGCAGCCTGTCAAGTTGTTGAAGCGAGAGTGTGCAGTGCGTTGGGCCTCCGAGACAGCCGAGGCGCACGTCAGCTGTCCGCATGTTCCATTGTCAAGTTTTGAGATTCTCAAAGTCGAGTCAGTCGGGACAGGCCGGGTTCGTCGTTCGATTCCCAAGTTTCGTTGAAGTCGATGATCTGAAGCATCTGGAGAAAGCCAGTCGAAAGATGGACCTCACCTTGCCACACCTTTTGTGCGAAAGAGGGAAAGGGTTGTGTGAAGTCACAGGTTGATTGCTATCAATGTCACATGTACCAGTCAAACAAGTGTGGGACGGTAGACAGTGGGTGACAAACAGGCAGCGAGCAGGGTAGAGCGGCATGCCGCCACAATGTACAAGGTACGCGGACCATACTTTCCCAAACGAGTATATCCAGCCAATCGCAGTTTGTTCCCGACTTATACGGCCCCACCTGCCCTGGATTGGACCTGAATGCACCAACGGGAACATGTCCCCAACATTCTGCTCAACAAAACTTATCAACGGCAAATTCAGGACGACACAAACGAGCGATCAACGCATGGCTCGCCCGGCTGAGCGCCAACAGAGCGCCAACATGGGCCAAAACAGCCCCAAAACAAAGCCCCAAAAGCACTTGCTTGGTGAGAAGCACATGCCTTGTGAAATCGATACCCTGAAAACCCCAACCAGTTTCCACTGCCTTCGCCGGGGTCTGGCCAGTCTAAGGTTTGGTGTCTCGAAATTTGCTTGTGATTTGCGGCCCTAGGGCGAACGGGAGGCGAAAAAGTTTGAAGGCCCTGACGGGAGTTATCACAGCAGTTCGCCGAACCTTCCCTTTGGGGGATACCCAGAACCTTAATAAATATAGACACTGCCCTGTTGTATCCGCTTTGTTGGTGTAAAAATCAGGTTAGCGGGCATTCACGCACTACAAAGTACGTGTGCAGCACTGAAGCAAGCAGGAGTGAGTGGGTGGACTCCAATCTGCAAGTACCAAAGGGTCCTCTCCTCCCAACCGAGAACCCACTTCACGGGCAAAGCTTGACTTTGATCTGAGAACCCTTGGGCCAAGCTTCCCACCTGCTTTCTTTTGCTACTTTATAACCTCTGCCCCGACTCCTACTTTTTCCCTTCCCTTTCCTCCAGCCCACTTGACCTAGGTCATCTCCCTCCCGACTCTTCCCAACTCGTTGTTCTCAGCAACGACAGAGCGGGCCACACCTTTTCAACACCACAACCCATTCAGTTTGTCGTCGACTTCATCCCTCGACAACAACATCGACACCATGGCGTCGACTTCCGCCACGGATATCCCGCCTGAGGTCCAGGCTGTGAACATCCCCGATGGCACCACCGACTTCGTCCCTCTCAGAGGCAAGAAGTACGACCTCAAGAAGCCTCACATTACCGAGATACCCATCACCTGGGGCAACTGGTGTAAGTACATGTCCTTCTCTTGAGGAAAACAACAAACAAGACGCTGACAATATCTCCCTCACAGACAAGCACGTCAACTGGCTGAACACCACCTTCATCATCTTCGTGCCCCTCGCCGGTCTCATCTCCGCCTACTGGGTTCCCCCTCAGACCAAGACCATCATCTTCTCCATCGTCTACTACTACTTCGCCGGTCTCGGTATCAGTAAGCATCCTCCGCGTCCAAGAATATCAGAAACGGGTCAATGACTAACTCACTCTCCTCTAGCTGCCGGTTACCACAGACTTTGGGCTCACACCTCTTACAAGGCCACCCTCCCTCTCAAGATCTGGCTCGCCGCTGGTGGTGCTGCCGCCGTTGAGGGTTCCGCCCGCTGGTGGTCCAGGGATCACCGTGCTCACCACAGATACACCGATACCGACAAGGATCCCTACTCGGTCCGCAAGGGTCTCCTCTACTCCCACATCGGCTGGATGGTCATGAAGCAGAACCCCAAGAGAATCGGCCGTACCGACATCACCGATCTCAACGAGGATCCCGTCGTCGTTTGGCAGCACAAGCACTACATCAAGTGCGTCCTCATCATGGCTCTCATCGTCCCTACCCTTATTTGCGGTCTCGGCTGGGGTGACTATGCTGGTGGCTTCATCTACGGCGGTATCCTCCGTATCTTCTTCATCCAGCAGGCTACCTTCTGCGTCAACTCTCTTGCCCACTGGCTCGGCGACCAGCCCTTCGACGACCGCAACTCACCGAGAGATCACGTCATCACTGCCCTCGTCACCCTTGGTGAGGGTTACCACAACTTCCACCACGAGTTCCCCAGCGATTTCCGCAACGCTATTGAGTGGTGGCAGTATGACCCCACGAAGTGGTGCATCTGGGCGTGGAAGCAGCTCGGTCTTGCCTACGACCTCAAGAAGTTCCCCCACAACGAGATTGAGAAGGGCCGTCTCCAGCAGCAGCAGAAGAAGCTCGACCAGAAGCGTGCCACCCTTGACTGGGGTATTCCCCTCGAGAACCTCCCCGTTGTCAGCTGGGACGACTTCGTCCAGGAGTCCAAGAACGGCAAGGCCTGGATCGCTGTCGCTGGTGTCATCCACGATGTCACCAAGTTCATCCAGGACCACCCCGGTGGCAAGGCCCTCATCAACTCCGCTATTGGCAAGGACGCTACCGCCATCTTCAACGGTGGTGTCTACAACCACTCCAACGCTGCCCACAACCTTCTCTCCACCATGCGCGTCGGTGTCATCCGCGGCGGCTGCGAGGTTGAGATCTGGAAGCGTGCTCAGGCTGAGAACAAGGACATCGCCACTGTTACCGACTCTTCCGGCAAGAAGATCGTTAGAGCTGGCCTTCAGCCTACTCGTGTCACTCCGCCCGTTACCACGGCTGATGCGGCATGAGTGGAGTTAGAATGATGAGGCTTTACGAAGTCTTCTGTTCATGGAAGACTTCAAAGGGGATGAAAATTTGCATGGGAAGCTGTGGTTCTAGCCGTAGATAGCGCGCAATGACCACAGGTTTGTACAGTGAGAGAGAAGCAAGACGGAATTGCGATATACATCTGCACCTACGTTCCTTTCGCTGTACATACACTTCCCGACTTCGGTCCTCGGCGTTTTGGGGAGATTTGGGATTTTGGTCTGCATGGAAAATAGCACGCTTTTTGGACGCGTATGATGACAACATGGTATGGGTTGAAAAGGCGGATACTTTAGGGTTAACAGGTGACGGAGATACCAACAGATTAGATTGCGACTTTGTGTGGGCTGGCTATTATGGCAATAGCATCATACAATCGTTATGCTAGACATTCGAAAATATTCAAACCATATAAAAATGCTGGTTCATTCTGATGCTGATTTCAAGTGCTCTGATAACGAAATGCTCCTTTTCATGATGCATCTCCGCTGAACCCGAGAATCCACACGATCGCTTACCGTGGTGGGACTCCAACTCGGGAGTTCGATTACGCCCCTTTCCATGAGCGGGGCAGCTAACGTTGTGATTCTCTCCAACCGCTTTATCCATCATCAGCCTCTTTATGGAATCCGCGGTGATGAAGTTATGGAGGAGAAATGACTTGGTCCACACCACGTGGATGTTATCAAGGTAATCCAGTTATACGGCGGGACGTTCAGTCTTTACAAGCATCATGAAACGTGAAAAGATTTCTTGTTGAAACTTTCAGTCGTCAATCATCCAAGCATCAGTCTTCAGTCATGTCGTCAGTCTTCAACCGAGGTAGAGTAGTACCTATCCCAACACTCAACATCGCTACTTACTCTCCAGGATCTGCCCTACTCAACATCTTGCTCGAAAAAAAATATACGCATATACACCTTTCCCCAACGTCTTTTCATCGTTATATTGTCAACGCCTTTTTCATCGCTCTTTTCACCATCATTTTTATGATGTCTGTTTAACACTTATTCTACGTCCTTGTATTTTAGGCCGTGTTCAGTAGTGCAGTAAGGGAAGAAGCTCTTTCTAACCCTAACCCTAACCCAAAGGCTCTTTTCTGCCACACGAAAAAGGCTCCCGTTAGGATGTTGCTTGCTTGATGGCTGAGGAGAAAAAAGTTGCAAAAAACATACAACACCAGGGATTCGTTGGTCGTCACCGACCCAACTACTAGTGTGGCGAGGCGATTGGTAGCTTAGCTTATCTATGTATGGGAGAGCGGACGGGATCCCGAGTTTTCTGACCATCTGTGGTCGTATGTGCTTGTTGTGGTGCCTAGAGTCTGCTGTAAACGTACGGTAGGTTGAATCTACTGCGTGGTAACATGTTACTACATATCGCAGAAAGTGACACTTGGAGTTGGAGCTCACGAGTTTACTGTACTACGTACTGCTGGACGGAACGAACACCGACGCCCTTATTAACGTCTTCATTCGCGCGGTCTTCTCAACGTTTTACATGTACGGGATCTAGATCTACCTAGGCTGTTCCATGTTTCCAACACAACTTATCTCATGCACATCTAAACCTGACTTGACTCCCGGGCATACATACATATATACGTGTTTGACACGCTGACCGTACACAGAGTTGTACTTACAGTATCTTATTTTCTTACCTCTGTACCTACCTTTATAGACCAAGACGTAGCTAGCTACATATGTACACAACTTTTGTTAACTCGTCATTTGTGTCGTCAGTCAGTCAGAAGTCAGAGGAGAGCATCCTGGTAAACAGGAATGGTCACCTGGTTTGGGGGAAACGAAGGAGAGCACGGAGAACACGAAGTACAGGCTATATCTATCTTGAGAAGTTCCGAAGTACGTACTCCGTTTGCTGGTTTTTCCAATAGTTAGTCCAACAACAATCCAACAGTTCATCAAATGCTTGTAGATCCAGGTAGGTTAGATGCATCTTCATGGTCTTCTTACACCCTGTTTTATCTCACTTTACCGGGTGGAATGTGGATGACCGTCAATAAGTAAATATAGGAAAGGAAAAAAGGACAGTCACTCACTCCCGTCTATACCTAGGTACATCATAGGAGTAGTCCTCGTCTCTTGTGTAATGCCTTCATACTCGTTGGGAGGTGTGAGTCATTCGTTTTGTTTACTTGACTGTTTGGCTCACTCTGTGTGTAGGTTTGTTTGTTTGTTTGTTTGTGGATATCTTGAAGGGGAACGAAAAATGTTGGTTTTGGATGATTCGATCCGACTTTGAATGAGGCAGATATGAGGTGGTGAAGATGACATGTCACTGTTCATTGGAAAAGACAAATGCCATGACGAACGGACTGTATTCGCTTCATTGACGATATCAAGAGTGAACTTTTCTCCCTTCTCCCTAACGCCTAAAGTACAAAATCACCACCAGTCAAACTCCTCATCCTCCTCCATTATTGTTCCTAAACCAGATTATAGTTGGCCGATTCCTCCCATAACTGCCAAATCGTCATCATTGGAAGAAAACCCAAAGCTTGACTCCTGTAGAAGATCGTCCATCTCGTTTTCCGTAAACATCATAATCATGTTGTGGTCATCTTGTCCTCCTCCTCCTCCTGCTGATGCTGCCCCGCCTGCTGCTCCTAGCAGACCCATATGCGTGGTGGGCATGCTCGTACTCATGTTCGTGTTCGTCATGTCGAGGGTCATGCCCATTCCGGTACAAGAACCAGCCATACTCGTTCCCATTCCCATACTCAAACCTGTGGATGACCAGTCCGTCAGGTTCGCCATGCCCATGGCACCAATGTTGCTCATGGAGCTGCTCATATCGCCCAAATTCAGGCCCAAATCCATGCTGAAATCCATACTCATGCCCATATCAGGACTGGTAGTAGTTCGAGTGGTAAATCCAGCAGCCGTTACCGGCGACGGCACCGCCGAAGTGTCAACCGACGAAGACTGCATCAGTCCCATACTACCCCCCACCTCCGAGAAGCCCGGCGTAGACCCCAAAGACGTAAATGCTGACACCAGCCCTAACCTCTCCCTCATCATGTTCTTGAACTTCTCCAGTAGCACCACATCATCCGCCGACGTGGTACTCATCTTCTGGATCTCCCTCGCCTTGGCGCGAATGGCTTCATCACTCGGGAACATCCCCCTTGCTCCTCCGCCGCCTCCTCCGCTACCATCACTAGTACCCATCACACAACTCGTAACAAACTCCACCAACCCCTTCTCCAACTCTCTCGAGCAGAACACCACCGCAGGCCTCTGCCACCTGGTCCTGAATCCCCTCACATACTTATTAGCCGTCTCTCTCTCCGCCACAAACGTGCGCTTGGCTTCTTTCATCTTGATAGGGATGTCCATTTCCACTGTTGTGACTTGGGCGTTGGGGTTGGGGAACAAGTAAGGCGGCTCGAACCCGGAACCGCCTTGGGTGGCGCTCCATTGGGTGCATTCGGGCAAGCCCGGCAGGGAAGAGTCGGTGAGGATGCCGACATCGCGCTTGAAGCGGCGAAGCCACTCCGCGTTGTCGGCGGCGGTTTGGTTCCAGGGGTCGTCACTGGATGGTGGGGAGAGAAAAGATTAGCTGGGGACGGAGAGAACGTGAGGGGTGATGGGCCAGACAGGTGCAAAAGAGACGGGAAGATGGGAAGGTAAGGGGGACTCACTCTTGATACAAGATCCAACGCGCTTGGAGTTGGAGTTCCTTATCATTGGGGATATGACAGTCTGGGGAGTTTGGTGACATAACCGATGCCACGTATGCGCCCAACTCGCGAGCCAGCCTGCGGTAGCAGTTGGCGTCGTTGAAGAAGTACGGTCCGATCTTGACGGCGTTGTTGGTTTTGCCTATGTGTCCATCTACGCCTGCTGCGGTATCAAAGGCTGGAGCACCTATGCTTCCCAGGGAGGTATTCTGGGGACCGCCAAAGCAGCTGCTGCCCATCCATGTTGCCATGTCCATCGACGGGGTGAAGCGGTACCGGGACACTGATGAGATGGTCAACGGTTCGTATGTGGCCAAAGCCACTGCACTGGCTTCTGGAGACACATGTCGCTGCTTGAACGCTGCGAGCCATTCACTGTTGTCCGCAGCTGTCTGGTTCCAGCTGTCGTCGCATTCGTAGATAATGATACGAGCTTTGTTTTGCAGGTCTACGTCTGCGGGCTCTACGCCCATCGAGCGTTGCATGTGCAAGAACTCGGCGAGTTCCCTCTCCAGTCGACTGTAGTTGTAGATGGTCGAATCAACCTTGGAGGGATCTGTGGAGCGCCTTGCCTCATCCCCAACATCTTCAGATCGTGGCAAGACAGCTCGTTGCCGGAATTCGGCGAGCCAGCTTGTAGATCCGTGAATGAGACGCAGCAGGAAGTTGGCGATACCTTCAGAAGGATGGCTAGACGACTCTTCCATGCGACCAATAATGTTGCAGGCTTCATACTGTAACTCGCTATCCATGGCGGTTAAGCCGAGTAACCGACGAGCCCTGACATACTCGTGGAGTTCGTGCTCCATCGGGTCATCCTCAAAGATGTTGCCCTTGCCGTTGATACGCAGAACTGCTTGACGGCTCTCGTTTGCCGACCTGATAGGTGCCATCCTGGCCTGCAGGGCCAACGGTTCGGAAGAAAGAAGCAAGTCTCGTAGCCAGGATGGGATGGCGGATATGCTCTGATTCGACTGGACCTCGGCTGCATAGATGATTCTGCATGCCTCGACGTGAATTTCTTCATCCGTAGGCACCCTGCCCCTGATGTCGCGCTCATTGGTGAGATAATACATCAGTTCGCTCTTGATCAGCTCGTAGGCGTTGCGAGCTGTTTCAGGAGGTGCTTGGGTCGCTGTGTATGGGCATGGCGAGTTTCTGTCGTCGTGGATCAGGTCTGATGGGATCATGTCAGCAGGTTATTTTACATATGTCGAAGGGGAAGGAACATCATACATGGCGGGATGGCGTTCTCGACCACCTCAAGAATTGGAGTGTCAAAACCCCAGTCACCCTTCCAATCGGCCATTGTCTGACCAGCTTTGAAGTGCTCCGCCAAGTGGTCGACACGAATGCTCCAAGTGTCCATGACGATGCCACAGAAACCACATCGGGACCAGATCTCGGGCGTAGTTGCTTTCCACTGCTCCATGGACCAGTCCACAAACTTGACGCCGTGAACCAGCTTCAGGTGCTGACGGAGATGGTCCTTGCGGTAGAAAGTTCGCTCTTCTTTGGTTTTCTCCTGGCAGATAGAGTAGTTGTGATTCTCGATATGACCTTCATCCGGGTTCGCCTCTCCGCAGAAGACACAAGACACTTGGCCATTCTCAGGGTTGGATGCTCGAGGGCCTTCAAGGGCGCATACCCATCTCTCGAGAGACAGGTGTAGGGACTTTTCATGTCTTTGCCAGTCGTGCTTGGTTCTGAAGGTCTCTGTACAGAACGTACACTGGAAAGTCTTGAGAGGCGCGGAGAGAGAGTTCCTTTTCTCTGACGGCACTGGTGCTGCCTTCCTCCTTCTCCGCCTCCGGCCACGGTTCATAGACGACCCATAAGAGCCAAGGGAGTCATGAGTTCCGTAAGAGTATGCGGAACTGGAGATGGACGTGTTGAAACTGCTAGCCGAGGAGGCGGCACACAAAGATCTGTTGGAGCCATCGTCGGTGAAGTTGAAGTTGTTGCTGTGTGGACTACCGGATGAAAGGGTAGTTGCGGAGGCAGTAACGGCACGGGCAATGGCAGTCACCGAGGCGGGTTCGTGTTCTGGGGGAGAGACTTGCCAACGTTGGAGCGGGTTCATGAGCTCTAGTTGGGGGCGTCTCTGTGGTATATCGACATTGTTGGACAAGCTCCGCACACCGGGTGAGATGGATCGAGGGGCTCCCATAGCCTTGCCTCTTCTGCGACGGGCATTGGCAAGCCAGCCAGTAATCTGAGTCTTGTTCAGGCCTGTCTGCTTTTGTAGCATTTCCTTCTCTTCATCGTTGGGGTATGGGTGTTTGTGGTGGGTGGAGAGCCAGTTCTTGAGGATCTTGATGGACTCCCGCGAGAACCGGCCATTGACCTTGGTAGCGGGTGCAACAGGAGCAGCAGTTTCTTGCTCTTCGATAGAGGTGGTCGACCCTGGGTTCCGAGGAAGTGTAGGCTGATCAACCAGTCCGAAGCTACAGACACGGTTCAGGGCAACACAGCCTGTGCAATATCCATTGTAGCTACCCTCACGGATGCGCTTGCACTGATATCCATTGGCCTGGCAGTGATTGCAAGGGGAGGATGGCATCTCAAACGAATCTTCAAAGGCCACGATGGGATCCCCAGAATGCAGGATCAAGCCGGGATTGGCAGTTGCTGTTTCTCCAATGCCAAGTGAGTTGCTGTGTTCGTAGTGCTGCAGGGCCCAGCTGGCAAAGTCATCATCGTCGACATTCTCCAGGGCCAGATCCAGGTCGTTGGGATGGCGAGCACCTGGCATGGCCGCTGGATCGACGCCGTCCCAGTTGATGAATGCTTCCATTTCGTAGATAGTCGGCATGGCGCAGGTGTCAAAGACCTCAAAGGGCGCAGCTGACGAGCACTAGTATGGTCTGTCTCTGGGGAAGTCGAATAGCTGGCTGATGCTGGTTGGGAGGAGGAGGATGTGTTGTAGTTCAAAGGGCGTCGAAGAGAGCAGATGATAACGATGTGGTACAGGCCACGGGCTCGGACTTTTTTTCTTGACGGGATATAAAGATGTTGTGAGAAGTCAACTTGGCCACATATAAACCATATGCCCAATATCTGATATCTTCCAACACAAGACAAGTGGAAGAGAATATCTCGACGAAACACACGCTGAAAGGGAGAATGATGAGTAAAAAAGGAGAGAAGATGAAGAGAAAAACTCAATTGACTCGACTTATCCAGGACATGTTATCAGGGGTATCGTAGCCTCGCACCCGATTCCAAGCTGCCAACCTGCCTTTCCCATCCAGGACGGTGACGGTTGGTCACACAACCACTGGATGGTCTGAAAGGGCATTGACGGGCCGAGAACATGGTGTTGTTGCTCAAAGAGGAATCCAGTCATCCGAAAAGGTGGGGAGCGCGCCTTTCGATTGACATGCTGCACCACAACTTGACAAGGACCCACACTGCCAAGCTCCTGCAGTCAGCCCAGCCCTTCCCCGCAATCGGACCCTTTCACTCTTTTTTCACGACAACTTCACCAACATCCAAGATAAAAGAGGAGACTACTCTTGCGTGAATGGCGCGGAGTGTGTACTTCAGGGGAGGTAGAAAAGATCATTTTATGTATAACCGTCTTACGGTTTTTCATCCATACCATAAACTAATGGGTTGTCCGCCGAACAAGTCTCGAATCCTCTCTGATAAACTCTGTTACATATTTGGCCATATCATCATACTCTAGGTAACAGTTGCTAACAGTGATAGAGCTGCCAGGAACTCTCAACCACCGGAATCGGCAGAGCGCCGATCATATTGTATCGAGCGATGTGCCCCTGCCTCTTTCTGTTGCAGACCATCTCACGAATTTTTAGGCAATCACCAACCTCGACTGAAGCCAATCTCAAATCTGATTGAAAAGTGGAAGGAAGTCACCCCGCTTACCAGTCACATTTTGCCCGCAACTTGAGAAAACGCCATGGCGATAATCCGATTTTATTCCATACCAGTACTGGCTTGAACGCCACGCTCCTTTACCACACCAAAGAAGCCATCCAACATAACCACAGTTGCACACAATCCATCGCCCGAATTTCGACAGGTTGCCTATTCGCTTCCTCCCCCAAACGCGTGTCTTCCCATCAACCGTTCTGCCAAAGGGCAGCATGAACGTCAACATTGATGGTGTTGTTCCGAAGCTTGTCTATCGATACTGGACCAGCTTTCAGGTAACAATTTCCAGAGGCGCCGCCCGCCTCGGCAGTCGATCTGTTCGTCCAAGCCGGAATGAATGAAACGGCCTCGCAGTTCCAGTTCGGGTCTTTGCTGTCAGTTTTCGGGACCACGTACTTGGTCCACGACGCGCAGGCATCCATACATCCCTCAAAGTCGGCCGTGAAGATGGCAGCCAAGTCGCTCTTCTTGGTCGTGTCCCGCTTATAGTCACTGGAGCAGTAGATCCTGTACCTGAGCTGGCCCAGTGCTAACCGTTCACTCATATTAGCTACATTGTCAGAACCAAGTGGCACGGAAGAGATGACATACGTTTAAGCGACGTGTAAATCGTCCCATTCACCTTGTCTTTCCGACTGCCACAGCCGCTATCGATTTCGACCCCTGATAATGAAGTGGCACTGCCGATACCACCCGTCGATGTCGCGGTCGCGGTCGCGGTCGTCGATGAGGTCGCTGACATCACCGGGTTCGCCGAGGTATAGGCTGCCAACTTAGTGACAGCATCGTTCGCCCTACTCGCTTCGATCCCCGTTCCGGCCGCCAATCCGATCACCGCAGCGGATAACAGCGCAATGATACACGACAGAACAAAGGTCAACAGACTGCAACCGCATATCATTCTCCCTTTCCCGTCACTTGTTGGTGTTGTGTGAGCATCTCCCACATGTGCGTGCGATCCAACCGTCGAGCCCGCTATCGTGGTTGCGCCGCCATAACCTGACGAGGGCGGAGGAGGCGAGTATGGCGATGGTGCAGGTTTCGGTATTGGCGGTGAGTCGTGATAAGCCTCCGGATACTGATGGTGTTGCTGGGCATAATAATCATGAGTATGTGGGGGAGCAACTTCGGGAAAGTTTTGAGGGGCCGGTTCGAGCCCGTCGTCGTATCGCTGCTTGGTGACATGAACGGTCAGCGATAAAACAGTCACATACTTGGAGCTGAGTACCCGGTGATCTTACCGACGCCATGACGGTGTAGCCGGAACGAGGCCACGACCTCATTCGGATCTCTTACAGAGCTTTGAGGGTGTTGAGAAAAGAACCAAAATTCCAGCAAAAGGACACACTCTTCAGGGAAGGCTGAAGTAAAGGAGACACGAGAATTGCGCCCGAGATCCACTGATCCGCTGATGATGGTTATGCGCGATTGGGGCAGAAAGCGAGCCTGGGCTGAAGAGGGTGCCGTCCAGAACCGTCTAGGAAACCAGGGGTGAGGTTCATGTGCCACAGCTGGGCTATAAAAGTAGCCCGCTCCAATCCAGTTTCAGCTGTTAGGCGAGGAGGGTTGCACGAGCATAAATACTCTTTCATGGGAACACAAGCTTCTGAAAGGCAAATCCAGTTTGTCCCTCTAGCAATGCCGATTGGAGACTGTATCGACTTGATCTCCCAGTGCAATGGTAAGCTTCTCAAGCTGATGGTGTAATCATCAACCATTCTAGGAATATTTGGTGACCAAACCTCGTTTGCGACAACCGCTTCGCTTGAAGTTCATGATAGGCACCCTCGAAGTGTACGCCACACGGAAGTCCAACCAGATACATGTTTCTTCCCATGGAGAGCTCATTTTTGACAGCACCTTCAAAGGACAGCTACTCAATGCCACAAACGTAGGTATAGACTTTTAGGATACCGGAATCTCCGGGTGGAACAACACTTCCCCCACTCACGCGGCTCTTCAGAAGGGTAATATTTCTAGCCGCCGTCATCTTCTCAAGTCGTCGTGGTCCGCAAATAAGGCTCGGGCTCTTGACCTGCCGAGCGGGACCAAGGAAATAGTGTACTATGGTAAGACATCGAACGGTCAAGCTGGAGCCCGCAGGGGCAAGGGGATCATCCGCCCTACGCTCACAATGGGTTTTGATGGTAGGGATCCCCTGCGTAGAGTAATCTCCCGTCTTGATGTCGAACATGGAGGGACCGAACCAACAGTGCACAAGATCAACACGTGGATGATATCGTATCATAAATCTCTTTTTCGAGATTGGCGATGATTGATAGAAAATCAGGATCGCTTCATATCACTGAATGGTGATGACAAACTTCCCCATATCCCGATCCTAGAGCTCGCCTAGCACCAATCCAGGACAACAACCTCGACGACGGGCAATCACAAAAAGTGAGGACATCTTCACATGAACACCATCCATCCGCGGTGACATGAAGTAATTCAACCTCCTCAAAAAGCGGTCAACAAGCTGAGCCGAACCCCGGATACCCTCATTTCGCAACCTTACCCAACATCATCAGAAAAAATCGTCAACGAGATTCAGAAGGCCTGTGATTCGTACTATTAACACTATACGATCTGCAAAACCCGGCACTGTTAATCAAGGCCCGGGGGCTAGCACGTGCTAGTCGCTATTTCCTACACTAGGGGGCTTCCTAGGGGGGGATGATGACGATGTAACCCAATCAACTGCCATTTGTGCAGTAACTTTGTGGAGGTTTAATTGCTTCCTTTCCTTCGTCACTTCTTCCACATGGGTTCTTTGCAACCATGCCTGTCTTTTGGGACTGATCACAAAGACTCTTACCTTTAACACGTCCCTCCCGACCCGACGGGACTTTTCCATGTGTTCCCGAGGACTTTGACAAGACCTTTATTGAAAAGTAGTCTTCTCATAGGCTCATGAGGACTTGGAGTTGAGAAAGAGGCAAGCTTGAGCCGACGATTATCGAGACGTGTTTTGTTTTCGTTGTTTGCTTACCCCTCCACGTTCATTGACGGTCCACGCCGAGAAACACTCAACTTTCACATGCGAACCTAGAGCAAGGGAGGAAAGCTTCGGGAATCCCGTCGATAGAATAGGAGAGTCAACACTCGACGTTCAACACCCCCCACCCGGTATCACGACATCAACCCCCGAGCACCACTGCCGTACACACTCCTTACAACCCATTCCACAGCATCCATCTGGCTTAACGGAAACCTACCAGCTATCCGCATCACAATTCGCATTCCTCTCACCAGGCCAACTTCGCACGCCTTACACTCACTTCACCAACCAGCAATTCAACAGCAACCACCAACCACACCGGACCTCAAAACCAAACCAACCACAACCAAAAGCACACACAAAAGCAACCAACAACCAAAATGCCAACCTACCTCTGCCACGGCTTCCGCTGGCAGCGCCGCTCCATCCGCGTCTACACCGTCGTGCAAGACCTCGACGACGTCTCGCCCGAGTGGCTGATCCGACCCACCAGCTCGCGCTGTCTCCTGCAGAGTTTTTACAATTTGTTTGAGTTTTTGCCTTATTGCTCTCCGTATGGAAGTGGGAGTTGGGATAGTGAGGAGAGTGAGGAGGATGAGGACGGGGCAAGTGATGAGGAGAATGGGGAAGGGATAGGAGGGAATGGTGGGGAGAAAAGGGATGAGGGGAGGAATCAGTGGCCGGAAAGGTTGGAGAGTCTTGGTATACTTGGGGGCGGTGTCAAAAGGAAGGGAGAAGATGCCAGCTCAGCGATCACCGCCATCCATGTCGGCAACGATTCAACAAGTCGTACCACCAGCCGCAGTCCAAGTCTGAAACTTCCGTTGCAAGGCTCACGAACCTCGTCCAAGACGCGCCAAACTGCCGCCGCAGCTACTCCTACTACTACCACCACATCCGCTCCAGCATCAAGAACTGCCAGCACCTTGGGAATTTCTTCTTCAGGAGGACGAAAGAGCAAGAAAACGGGAAGCAGGAGTGGGTCTCACAGTCCCAATTGCAAAAAAGACGAGCTGAGCGCCCAACGCTGGTCAGCAGTCAAAGTCCTCGAGGAGTACGACCCAAACAACCTCGACGAAGTCTCGCGGCCTTACGCCTACGTAGCCGATCACGTAGTCCGCGTCGACGGGGCGGTGGATATCCTGGCGGAAGTGAGGCGGTATGAAGAGCGGGTGCAGCAGAGGCAGAGGCAGAAGAGGGAGGAGGAGGAGGAGGAGGTAGTGGTAGGCGGGGCGCGGAAGGGGGTGGAGAAGAGAAGAGGGGAAAAGAAGGGGGGACGTGATAATAAGGCTAATCGCGATAGTGGCGGAAGTGGCGGGAGTGGAGGTAGAGGGGATGAGGAGTATCATGATGCTCTTGAGCACCTTGAAGAACAAAACGCGAAGCAGGAGAAAGAACAGACCTGGATCGAGCAGCTCAGAGATGAACTCCAGCGTGGAGAGGAGATTAAGTGGTATGTTGTTGTCAACGGGGATGAAGAGCGCAATTATTCCAATTCCAATGACTTCGACGATTCTGAAGATGACGAAGACGAAGACGAATACTACGCCGAGGAACTTTCTTCCGAGAGTTACTACGGAGGAGGGACCTACCACCACGATACCTCCGAAGACCTGAGCGCCTCAGAACTACTTACAAATCCTTCCCTCGCTGCGCATCCACCTACGGAAGACCGACGACCATCCCTTCTCTCCCACTCCGGATCTAGGACGTCTTCTTCATCCCGTGGGCAATCAAAATCCCGAAGCCAAAGCCGGAGTCACTCTCGAACCCGCCACCGCAACCACAGCCGGCAGAGACACGGAGACAGACACAGACGCAGACCAAAACCGACGAAAGAACAACGTCAACATCATGCGCAGTATACACTCCAACAGGAACTCTTTGAGAGGAATGACTTGCGGGCTTCTTCATCTGCAATGGCAACTCCAACTTCAACTCCAAGAACAACGACCGTGGCGGCCACGAGAGGGACAACAACGACAACAACAACGACAACAACCGGACCGCCACCAACGGCTATGAGGAACATGAACACAAAGGCAATCATTAAAGAAGGAGCGGCTAGGCGAGTGATAAGCGAGGGAGGGATCCATCCAGCCCTAAGAGGGGGACCGAAGAACCCCGAGATACCGATCATTATGGTTACGCCTACAAGGATGACCTTTCCTACTGGGACTGTTGCGAGTGGGAAGCGAGTGGTGGAGCAACAGCAGCAGCGGCAGCAACAGCAGCAGCAGCAGCAACAGCAGCAGCAGCAGCAGCAGCAACAGCAGCAGCAGCAGCAACAGCAGCAGCAGCAGCAACAACAGCAGGGGCAACAGAACGAATACCAGACGAAAAGTAGTAGTGCCGGCGGGAGTGGGAGTGGGAGTGGTACCTCTAGTGGCATGGGAATCGTAAGCAGCGCCGCGGCCGCCACCAGCAGTTTCAGTCTCGAAACCAGCCCCAGCAACGTCCCCGCTTCCGCTCCCGCTCCCACTCCCCGTCGTCCCAATCCCAGGAATCCCACCACTACCGGACACGGACACGGACAAAGCACGGGCAGCAAAAGGAGCTCCCTCACCTCCCTCCGCACCCTCTCCTGGTCCTGCCTCAACTTTCCGGTCCACGGCCACGGCCACCACTCAACCAGCCCTGAAAACAAGGACACCAGCGAAGCCGTCTCCCCGCCTCGCCCCTCCCCTTCCCCTCCCATCCCCCTCCACCCCAAAGGCTCTTACCCATCCATCTCAACCCTCCCTCCCCGACCGGCACCGCCGCCGCCGGCATCAGCTGCCCAGCGACCTGGACGACCTTTGACACCACCGCCACCGCTTGGTCAAAGTGACTCAAACAAAGTGCCCACCGCGCCGTCGTCACCGGTCGTGATCAAGATCAGTGCTACGCCGGCGGAGGCACTTGAGGCACAGGCGGCGGCGTCACCGCCGGTGGTGGGGCAGTATTCGAGTAAGACGATGCCGACGCGGAAGGGGAATCAGGGTTATGGAAGTCGGAAACGTCGAAGTAGTGGGAGTTTGAGGAGGTTGTTTCAGAGGACTAGTGGGAAGGAGGGGTGGATTTGAGGTTGTTTGTTTGGATTCATTGAGGGGAACTACCTACTGCATGGATGGAAAAGTTAATGTTGAAGGGATGTGAAGAAGACAAACAACGGTTGCAGCCCGCTATCAAATCGTATATCGAGACGCGAATCTGTGCATTTGACATGTGCGAGAAGTCACTTGCAGAAGCTTCAATGAATGAACGATGAGTTGAAATATGTTTTGTATTTTTTGCTAGTTCGAAAGCTCGATATCGAGTTCTCAGACGATAATGTCCTACGATGTGTGAAACAACATCAGCGCCAGGCTTCGCGGTCAAATAACCGCCCACGGAAGCTTTTACGCGGACCACTGAGCGTGATGGGAAGTACCATCACACTTACTTCACTTGCTGAGGCAAGTACGTTTACATGAAATGTTCCCAAGGGTTCTCTTGCATCATTGCCCACCAACCTTGCGGAAGTCAACTCATAAAGAGTCGGGACAACGAGCCTTCTATAATGGAAATTCGATCTACCAACGCTCCGTTCAGAACCGTTCCTGGGATGGAAATCGACTCCGGCTTTCTCGAGTGAAAGCATCGCTGGATTTTGTTTGAGGGCAAGGGAAGGAGGGAATGACTCGTTTGCTGACTGACGTCAAGCAAGGCGAGGAGGTGGAATAAGCAAACAAAAAGAAAAGAGGGAGAGAGGGAAAGAACAAGCTGCGCGGCGAACCACACAACCGAGCGTATAATGTCAATTGGATATCTGACTGCTCGTTCCAAAAGGTCTAAGGACGCTTTTCTCCGCTCCGAATGTCAAAACGACAGTCTGAAATCACCAACGCCACGCTTGTAATCCGAGTCTCCCAACATACCTGATGATGATGTGCTTTCGTAAAGAAGGTGCAAGTAAATGCCCTATGAAGCCTCTGTGATGCGTCATGAAAAACCAAAAAACAGAACCGTGCGATATTACTCCACTATGTGCTGGAACAAAGGCGAGATCGACTCGCCATAGTGGTTCCGACGAATTGCTTCCGCAAGGAGATAGGACAAGTCAAGTACGTGCAGCTTGCTGGCGTTGCGAGCCTTTTCCTCTGGGATGGGGTAGCTGTTTGTCACGAGGATGTGATCAATGCAGTCGCAATCCTGCAACTGCTCAAGGCAGTCAGCGCCAAAGACGGCATGGGTGGCAATGCAATAGACCTTCTTGGCCAAACCGCGTTTGACAACCGTCTCGGCAGCAGCGATCCAAGAACCAGGCTTGTCGATCATGTCGTCAACAATGAAGACGGTGCGGTTCTTGACGTCTCCGACAAGGGTGACCATGTGCTCCACCTTGGGGTCCTTCAGGATCACCTCATCCTCATCCGAACTTTCAGCTGCATCACCCGAGCCACCGAGGGCAGCGTGGTGCTGAGGAGCGAAGAACGACGAAGCGTGCGACATGGTCATCGGGTCGTCTCCAGCGACACTGGTGGCTGCAGAGATGTCTGGCGACTCGAAGTCATCAGGAACGATGTGGCCGTGGACAAGACGAGCCTGGGTGACCTCATGAGCACGCTGGTCATTGTACTCGAGGCCGTCCTCGCCTTCCTCGTCGACACCGTCCAAAGCCGAGGTCGAAGAACGCAGGCGAGATGGCAGAGACTTGGCGCTGTGCAAAGACGATCCATTGGGACGGCGCGCGGGGCTTGCAGTACCTGCGATAGGCTGGGTGATGTTGCTGGCTGAGGTCTCCTCAGGCTCAACTGCCTCGCTGACCTGCTCGCCGATGGGGTCCAAGACAGCGTCAATGGGGTTGAGAATCATGCTGCTAGTCATGTTGCCATGGCCTCTCTTCTTGTCGGTGGTGACCATGCCGAAGTTCAACTTGAGAGCGTCGGCAAGCGACGTAACGCGCTTGGTACCACCGGCGTTCTTGGACACGACGACGGCCTCTTTCCAGTCGGGGACGTTCTGCCTGATCCAGCGGGCAATGAGAGGCTCGGCGTGGAGGTTGTCGACAGGGCACTTGAAGAAGCCCTGCATCTGAGAAGCGTGCAAATCGACCGTGATGATGTGCTTAACACCAGCAACGCCGAGAAGATTGGCAAGCATTCTCGCAGTGATGGCACCGCGGTGCGACTTCTTCTTGGACTGGCGACTGTAGGGGAAGTATGGCAGGACGGCTAGAGAGGGCCTGGTCAGCCTTCACACTGGATGGATTGCTGTTGAGCGGCAGACATACCAGTGATCTTGCTGGCAGAGCCTCCCTTGCAAGCAGAAATCATGATGAGCAGCTCCATGATGGTGTCGTTGATCTTGGGGCTGCCGGACTGAACGACGAAGACATCCTTCTCGCGGACGCTGGTGAGGATCCGGACGCTCGTCTCTCCGTTGGAGAACTGGGTGAGCTCAGCATCAGCTGGCGTCATACCCAGGTTTTCGCATACTTTGCCGGTGAGGGCCGGGCACGAGCTGCCCGAAAAGATGAGGGTGCCGCGCATTGTGAAAAAAAGAGTGTTGGTGAGTTCGGGGAAGAGAAGTTCGGGAGCGGGATTTGAGGGGAGGAAATTTAGTTTTTTTTCAATCTTGTCCTCGTGCCCCGCAGCGATTCACGTAAAAGTGGGTCAAATGGTTGAAAGGAAGGATCTCGCCGCCGATGTCGTTTCGGGGCCTGCCATTTTTATGTGCAGTTGCCGCAGCTGCAGGGTCGCCCTGACAGCCCTGACAACCTGGAAGATAAGCATACAGTGTGCAGGAAAGGCGATGCTATCCATCTTCATGTGAAGTCATGATAACAACTACTGTAACTTACCTACAGCGTTTGAAGAGTATAACATTTCGTAAAATCATAGTAAACTTTTAAAATTATCAATGGCCATATATGATCTTACCTGAAGCAGATTCTCTTGGGAAAATGGCTGTGAAAGGGCAGTGACTCAAGGCGGCAACGATGCCTACCGCGTTCCATTGATGAAGGCGGCATCGAGGTACATGAAGAGCGTCGTCGTTTCCATCGTAGAGGTACTTCCGGCAGGTCCAAGCCAATGCTTGTAGACGGGACAATGACATCGTGAAGCCACGGCCCTGACCCCCAGGTTCAAAACAACAAACTCAACTAGAGGTAAATACGTTCTCGAGAAAGGATGCCAACACCATGGACTCTCCGTCACGATCAACGAAAGAGAACACCAAATTCCAATTCGCACTGTTTAACTTCACATCAAAACACACCAATACTTCAAATGAAGCCAGTCATGATTCTGATGTTTGGACGTTTCAACTACACTTCAAACAGTCGTTTGGCAAGAGACCCTTGACATCCCAATACCCCATCCCGTTCACAGGACAAATTCCCACCCAGCACCGCCGCCTACGGAAGACTCGCGGCCATTCGAGAAGGACCTGAACTCATCACACGGCGGGGACCGCGCCCACAAAAAGCCAAGCGGCAAACGAGGATATCAAAATCGTCAAACGAATATGGGCATTCCACACCTCAGGAAACACCTGGAGCCTTATGCGCAGCGAGGCGCAATCCAGCCAAGCAATCTGGTCATCGACGGGCCTGCACTTGCATATCACATCTTGAATCTCTGCCGAATAAAAACCATCAAGAACAGTCCCTTTGAGCAACCAACCTATGAGCTGCTAAGTCGGACTACCCTCGAATGGCTCGACAGGATCAGAGTGTGCGGCCTCACCATGTAATTCGTTCTCCATGACCCAGACCCTCCCTCCAGCATACTAATGTTCGCCATGGCTTTCAAAGTTCGAGGATATTTTTCGATGGTTATCTTCCTACGTCCAAGACGGATGAGCGGACCAAGAGGCTCATGAGAACCTCCAAGGACTTGCAGGGATTTCACCGAAAATACGTAAATGGAGTGACGCAGGGCCGTCCTGGCTGGAATTCCAACAGGAAAGTCGCCTTGTTCCCCGAGGCTCAACCAAGTCACAGCGGAGTGAGCCCACCGCCACCGGCGTTCTTCGTTCCGTCCATCGTCGACACTCTGAGACAGTCCGAGTATTACGCCTCACAAACGAAGGTTGTGCCCGGAGAGGCCGACGTGTTCTGCGCCCAGTATGTCCGGGAACATGGCGGAACAGTTCTGACATCTGATTCGGACCTGCTCGTACACAACCTTGGACCCAACGGCAGCGTTGTCTTCTTCTCGGATATTGAATCCAACCCGGCCGGCACAGAGCTTATGGGCTTGCAATTCAAAAGTGCCGACATTTGTGAGCGTCTCTCACTCCAGCCTGAGGATGGCCTTTCGTGTCTGGCATTCGAGCTCGTGATGGACCCACACATCACTCTTGAGCAAGCAGTCTCGAAAGCCAAGAGCAAGTACTCAGTCGCGGCGTATCCCGGCGCGCACAAGGAGTTTACTGAGCAGTATCTCTCTCCTGAAACGGGGTCTCAGATCCCGGTCGAAGCATCCGTCGTGTTGGACCCCCGGATATCAGAACTTGTTCTTCGGTGTCGGGATAAGAAACCGGCCATGTACCTCCCTTTCCTCTTGGACTCTCCGACTCGAACTAGTGCGTGGGAATCAAGCAAAGACATCAGGCAGCTGGCATACGCTATCCTACAGACAGTCACTGGATCACCAATACCGACGGTTGCCGAATTCAGGAGGCTTGATCAGCCATCAGCGGGGACACCTATCAAGGTACCGCCTATCTCCGAGGTTGATATGGACGCAGCTGTGCTTGAGGATGTCTTGTCATCGATCATTAAAGACGTGAGAAACTCCAAGGCAGTTTGGATGACCCTCTCAGTCTATCAGGACGTTGTCATGACAACCAGCCAAGGGAAGGTCCAACCACTCAGCCTGAAGTTGCTCCAGCAAGCAGTCGACGAGAAGCTCGACATAACGTCTTGGGAGTGTGTCCACTTCCTTGCCCAGTGCCAGGCGACCTACTACTCGCTCAGAATGCTAGAGCAAATAATGCAGCACGCGGCTTCTCAAGGCAAGGGACTATCGCCCGCCCTGAAGGAACTGCAAGATTGCTTATCCAAGCTCCCTTCTCTCCCGGATTTCCCGACCATATTCAACTTCCCAGAGATGGTGCAACTGATTATCGACAAAAAGGGACTATCCTGCTTGACGAAGATATGTGCCGACCAGGACGATATGGTGCCACAGCTGGAGGCCATCATGCAACCCAAGAAACAACAAAAGTCGAACAAGCGGAAGAACTCGCAAGAACCTGAAGCAAGGCCGCGCTCTAACAACCCATTCGCGCTTTTGGACGCCGAGTGCTGAGATGTAAGGAGATAATGGCCAGACCTCTCCACCTGGAGCAAACGATACGACCAATACATATCAACCCTTAAAAGTTTGTTAGCGTGGTTCTTGTGACAGGGGTCTGTAAAACTTTATAGAAAAATAACGGAATAACTATATTTAAAACGGAAACTTGGATAAAGTGTATAAAGCTTCCAAAACGTATTTAGTTGATACTAATTTCTTGTATGAAATGTGGTAGAATGGTGGTTGAGTTGCGAAGAGTGCGTAGTGAAGTCCCGCGCTAACGAACTTTCCAGGGGTGATGTGTACAGTAATTACCCCTGCTCGTGCATGTACCTGAAAGTGCATAAAACCCTCTAAATGCTTACAGATGGCCGTCCGCAATTATTTAGTATGGGTAACTGCATAAAAGCTTAAATGCATGTCTGGCGGGCCGCGAAATTGGTCTATATGCATTTAATGGTTACCCTTTTTGGGCCTTTATAGGTAGGTTAATAGCTTAAAACTCCCCCAAAATGTCCCTGCTAGGGGAGCCCGGAAGTCTTGGCACGGGACTGTAAATGTATGAGCCCTCTAAATACATGTCAAGTGCTGGCCCGGATTACATGCACGAACAGGGGTAATTACTGTACCCAAAACATGCTTGAGCGAGACCAACCGCAACACCATCTTCACTTCTTCCTATGACTGCTTCTGCGTGACCACAGTGTCAGGCTTGCTATGTGTCAGTTGAAGGTCACACTCGATATCACGGTTGATATATGCATCTGTTATACCCAATTTCCCATCCTATAGGTTGCTGTCACTGTGATGAATGGTCTTTCAGATGTACCCTTGCCAAGCAAACCAATGTGCCCCTGGCTGCGATGGAACCCTGCTGGCCAAGAGGCTCCACCAAAAAGGCTCTTATCGTTATCGCGCCCAGCAAATGCCCCTCTAAAAATTTTACCACCCCGCCAAAGTGTCTGGGGGCATGGCAATTCCCGCCCGTCGTAGGCGCCTGGTGCCCCTCGCAGCAGGTGATTTCAAGATGGCTGTTTTCTTATCAGATCTTACACGAGTCCACACATCGCCGCCGTCGTCGTCCTCCAAAGTGCTCCCGTCCTGTTTCCTAATTCACATCCATTCCACTGACCTCTTGATCCACGCCCCTTGCTCATTCACTCTTGGTTCAAGTTGCGATTGATTCGCAATACCTCCCTCCCATTGTATAATCCCCAAAACCAATTCCGAGCAAGTTTGACAAATTCCACCAACCCACCCACAATGTCTGCCACTATCGCCAGCCTGCGCGAGAGCCTCTGCTCCGAGACGACCCCACTGCCCATCCGGTTCCGCGCCCTCTTCTCGCTCAAGCACCTTGCCGTGCAGAACAAGGGCACGGACGAGTCGCTTTCGGCCATCGAGGCCATCGCCGCCGCCTTTTCTTCCCCCTCGGCCCTCCTCAAGCACGAGCTGGCCTACTGCCTCGGACAGACTGGCAACGATGCGGCCATCCCCCACCTCACGCAGGTGCTCGAGGACCTGCAGGAGGACGCCATGTGCAGACACGAGGCCGCCGAGGCGCTGGGCGCGCTGGGCAACGCCGAGAGCTTGAGCGTGCTCCAGAAGTACCTCAACCGCGAGGGAGAGGACGTTTCCGTCAAGGAGACGTGCGAGATCGCTATTGACAGGATAGAGTGGGAGAACTCGGAGCAGAGGAGGCAGGAGAAGCTGCGCCAAAGGTACATACAATTAATTGCGACCACGATGCACACCCCTTCATCAACACCTACACTTCATCCCATCACAGTCATTGATCATCTTTTTTCTGGCACTCTCCATTGGCGTAAGATTGCGCGCGGCCTATGCTAACCGCAGAAACTACCTTTCTAGTGACTTTGCCTCCGTTGATCCCGCCCCTCCCATGCCCGAAGACGACGAGAAGCAAACGGTCGAGACGCTCGAGAAGAAACTACTAGACACATCGCTCCCCCTCTTCAAGAGATACCGCGCCATGTTCGCCCTCCGCGACCTGGCCTCTCCTCCCGACCTGCCCACTGCCGTTCCCGCCGTCCTGGCCCTTGCCAAGGGTCTCAAGGATAAGTCCGCCCTGTTCCGCCACGAGATCGCCTTTGTGTTCGGACAGCTTTCGCATCCCGCTTCCATCCCTGCCCTGACCGAGGCCCTCGGCAACCTCGACGAGGTCAGCATGGTCCGCCACGAGGCGGCCGAGGCTCTTGGCAGTCTTGGTGATGAGGAGGGTGTCGAGGAGACGTTGCTGAAGTTCCTCCACGACAAGGAGAAGGTCGTTCGCGAGAGTGTTATTGTTGCGCTGGATATGGCCGAGTTTGAGCAGAGCGGCCAGGCTGAGTACGCGTTGATACCCGAGGTTGCTAGCAAGGCGTCGTAAAGATGGAGTTTCTCTTGTTGTTTCGTTGGTTGCTTGTTTCTTTTCGGGGCGAATCATGGATGGATGGGTATTTCAAAAAGTTTCTGTTTCTCTCTCAGGATAATACCAATGCGACTGGTCGTCGGTCCTGACAAAAAGAAGGGGTATCGTTGTTGTAGTTGTAACAAGGCAAAGCCATCATTACTAAGTCTCGGCTTGCCAATGCTGGTGCTAGCTGTCCCAAATATCGTTTGATCCAAAACGATGCGACCCAAATAGCATCCCAATTTCGTGATTCGATGAAAGTCTTTGCACTCAGTTGTTGACCGACCATCTGTGTACCTCGAGTTAGCACAAGGACAAAGCAACCCACAGCGATAACCGTCCGGTGTCGCATACCTCTCTCCGCAGTCGCAGTTGTAAAGAATTGTTGAGCCTTCGTCTGCACTTCTCTGCTGAACTTCGGAGTAACGGATACCGCGCTTGCCGCACTTGGGGCATTCCGTGTTGGAGTCGATTCTCTCGGTGTTGAGCTCGTGTCTTACGACGGTCTGGACGATATCGAGCTTCTGGCGCAAAAGCGAGGGGAAATCGGACGGCTTCGACTTGGTCACGACGGTTCTGGAGGGACGATCTGAAACAAGACGAATGGTCAGCTGTTTGACCTACAAACTTTTTTCTGGATGAAAGCTTCTTGAACGCTTCCAAACGACAACGACCACCGGGTAAACGAGGTGAAATCGTATGCGCACCTCTGTTTTCCGCACCGCAGCACTCGCAGTGAAGAATGTTCTTCTCGCTGCCCTTGGAGACGGGCAACAGGTTGCCGCAGTCTGTGCAGAAAATGAGGGATCCGATGGCAGCCATTGTTGCTCTTTGTCGCTTGTCTTGTGTGCCGGGATGGTGGTTGTCTGATTCAATGTCGTCGGTTGGGGTTTCTGTTGTTTTCGCAGTAAACAATTCGGGACTTCAAGATTTACAACGGGCCTGCAGACGATCGATTAGCAATTGATAGGGCGCTGGAAAATTTGGGACCCTCCTGGTCTGCTTCCTGGCAGGCAAAGCTTGGCAGCGGAAACGCAACGACAATGAAAGCCGGGGCAGGCTAGCACGGGTGATGACGAGTGACGACGGAAGGCACAACCGTCACAATCACCCACGCTGATCACGGCAGGTGGGACCATCTGGGCGCTGAATTGCAAGCCGGACGCGGCAAGCACGAGCGCGCCAACACGCAAATCCAGGGCAAGCTGGGCAAGCACGGGGCGGCCACGGCACGGCATGGCAGGTGCTACCGACCGGGGTTCGGGGACTCGAATTAGCGTTACCGCGCGCCGTACCTACCAAGCTCACAGGGCTGTTTCCCGTGTTGCCCCTGGCGTTTGTTGGTTGGTTCCATTGGATTGCGCCTGCTTTGCGGATCTGGGGAAACATTTGGGTCCATTGGACTTTCCTTGAGATTGGGTACCTGAACTTCACCTTCCTTGAACTTGTTCAACATCGATTACACGTATCTTTATTATTTCTATCTCCATCAGGCAGTCTCCCAGGTCGTGGTTGCAACACATCGATGCGACATGGACATACCTGTGCCTGCAACTTGATTTCCTTTCCTTGAACCATCCATCTCGTCTCCCAAGTCCGACGCGCCCAGGCCAATCCCCGAGACAAAGGCCCTCCGCGACTACACGATTCCGCCGAAAGCGTCGGTTCGCATGGCAACAACTTCCGCTCTCGTCTGAACTTTGGGCCTCGAGTCCTTACGTGCTGCTGCGTCTGCTGCTGCCGCTGCTGCCGATACCCTCCGGCTGGGACGACACTTGCGCCGGATACACCCATCAAAATCACCATGCGCTAATGCTGCTGTCAAAGTGATCAAGCAGCAAAAGCAACAATAGACACCACCACAATATGGATCCCAACGCCCAAGACTACCATGGCTCACAAGGCGCGCCGGCGTCCTCGTCGCCGCAACAAGCTGGTGGATTCATGAGACCTTTCGCACTCTACGAAGCTCTGCCATATACGCCTTTCACCTCGATCGTACCTTTTGACCCAAGTAAGATCAAACCATCCCAACTCTGCGACACTTCATGTTTGCTGCCCTTCCCCAATATCGTCATACACACCCCTCTCCTCTTCGCTCCAATATCTTTTACTTTTATGCTCTAGTTCTAACCATCTATGTATTCACCTCTAGGCATCTTACCTACACCTTCGATCGGAGCTGCGTCGCCCGCCCCCAGCGTACTCGACCTCCTCAGCACTCAGGAATTTGATGGCCTCAATCAAGAAGTTCGCAACACAGGTCCGAGCAAACGCGTTCAGCAAACTCTCAGTCAGGTCCAACACTTGATAGAGAGGGCGAATATCACAGAATTGTACGTTTTGACGAGGAAGTGAGGAAGAGTCGGGACTGACCACCTCTACAGCAAGTTTAAGACGGGTCCGAAAGCACCAACCAGTGGTAGTTCTTCTGCTGTTGCCCCAATAGCCTCGTTGGCATCTACCCTCTCTCCATTCTCAAAGATGTTTTACGAGCAAACGTCAATACCGTTCAGGTACCCAACGCCAGATACTCCCGGCATGACATCCGCAAACGGCCAACAACCGAAAGTCGAGCGGACTACGCCCGTCCCCATCAAACAAGAGTCACCGGTTCCCCCACCGAAAGTCGAACATAGGGCTGAGAGACAGACTCCTACCAACGCCCCGAAGAACCGTCAAGCGCATTCGCAGAACCGGGCCCGGTTTGAAATAGTGTTACCAACCAGGGCCGAACTCGAAAGGGCCCAGGCGGCTCTTCAAGCCAGCTCGAGCCAGGGCATTGCGTCAAGTGAGCCGCCAGTCTCAACCCGGCCACCCATTTCTCAGCCTCCGCCTCAGTTTGCACCCATACAGCCGGTACTCATACAGCCGGCACCTCCCCAACCAGCACCACAGCAGCCTACACTCTCGGCGCCTCCCGAGTTAGCTCCACCCGTGGCTCCAAAACGGCCTAGTGAAGAGGTTGCTGCTCTTCCGTCGCCGGCTCTTGTTGTTAGAGGTAGTCCGACAAAGTCGACCTCTCAGGCTCCCTCCAACTCCCAACAACCAGCTGTCGCTATTGCTATCGAGCTGCCTCATGCGCCTATTTTTAACAAGAGTGAGTATATGGCTATTCCCGATGAGCCTGACGAGCCGGTCAACCTTTCGGAGCGGAAACGGAAACGAGAAGACCTAGACGAGGAGCTATATGGGGAGAGTTTGGGTTTCCAGCAGCGAAGCAACGCTGCCCTTCATGAGTTGAAGGTTTTTTTACAACAAGTTTTCGAGGCAGAAAATCATGCTGTTCATAATCGTACATCGAACGAATGGGTGCTGCTAACCGTTGACGGAGAAAGCACGCTATCTCCAGTGTGCCAGACCAAGGCCCAAACGCTGCTGGCAAAGGTCATCCAATTGAACTGTTTTCACAAAGTTCCACTCCAAGATCTTCTTCGCTTACTCCGTTTCTGCGAAAATGCCTTGAAGCAAGCCGACTCTTTGGAGATCAAGGTTGAGGAGTCATGGGTCCCCGCGGATGTTGATTCGTGGATCCAGCAGCTTCCTGCGTTGGAAACAGCTCTCAAAGCTGCCAGGACAGCGTTACGTATGATGTGCGGAGGGCGTGAGGATAAGCAGCTATACTCGGAGGATACAATCGACCAGTCACTCAATTTGTTCAAAAGGGTAATGGACGGTATCGTGATTCCGGTCGCTGAGTTGAGGAGTTCCGATAACACCGCAGAGCTCTTCAAGTTACTATCTTCCCACAAGAAGAGGATCGCATCACTCTTCAACGATAGCCAAAAGCTGTTCTCGCAGATGTCAGTACTTTTGGCCAAGATTGACACGTCGGATACGGTCACCAACACCCTGGAGTTCACGGCTTCACAACTGATTTTCCTCGAAACCGCTCATACGGAAAGGGAGTCGGTTCTCGATACTCAGAAGTTCGATGGCTTCCGTCTGGTGGCTATGGATATGCTATCGCAGATCTTCCATTTGAATCCTGCCCAACGACAAGGCATCTTTGACGAGATTCTGACCTCACTAGAAAAACTGCCACTGGGAAAGCGTGCCAGGACGTTTAAGCTGGTTGATGGAAACAGCATACAGCCAGTTTCTGCACTGATCATGCGATTGGTCCAAACCAGCGCAGGACAAGTTGATGAGACAAAGACACACGGAGGCAAAGCTCTTCGCTCAGATGGCGACGAGGAAGAGGATGAGCTGGCAGGCGCAGTTACCGGTGGGAAGCAGCTGTCGTTTGTTATTCGTGATGAGGACCACGGCGCAATCCAGCATTCAACTGCAATCCAGGAGCTTACCGCTCTTGCAACGCCCTTGATGGACACGGCTAAGCGAAATGCTTCTTATGTCGTCAACTTCATTGTGAACCGTGCGCTGACGTCCACAAAATCCGGCGATACTCCGTACCGCAACCTTCTCGATCTTTTCGTGGAGGACTTTACAACCTGCATGGACAACCCAGATTGGCCGGCAGCAGAACTTCTGCTTCGTCTGCTAAACTTCATGATGGTTAAGCTGGTGGAGGGTGATAAGACAAGCGTCACCGCCAAGAATATGGCGCTTGAACTGATGGGCACCATGGGCGCTGCGATCTCCAAGCTTCGCAGTCATGTCAGGAAGACGGCGAATGCTTTGGACGCCAGGGATGCGGATGAACTGGGACTTTTCCTGTCGGATCTTGCCGCCTCAGCACTGGAACTGCGATCACGCTCGGAAACGATGGTTGCTTGGGTTGGTCCATACCGGGCGACCCTGGAATGGCTCGAGAGCCGTTTCACCGAGGACCCGCATCTCGCAAGCGCCATCAGCTTCATAATTTCAGATTGGGGCACAAAAGTTTGTGCTGGGTATGATTCTTGCGACGATGACGACCGCGAGCGCGATCAGGAGTTTGGAAGACTGGCCTACAGACTGCGACAGATGATCCAAGACCGTCGATGGCTCTCCAACGAGTACTCTTTCAAGAAAGTGTCACCTAACCAGGCCAAACTTTCCTATTCCATCACACTGTTGCGGTCGCAGTTATGCGAATCCTTCAGCGCAATTCTCAACATCTTGCTCGGTTCGATGGCTAGCGACCAGCCGACAGTCAGGAGCAAGAGTTTGAAGAGTATCAATCAGGTCCTGGAGACGGACCCGTCTATTCTCGATGGCGATTCTGTGGTGGTCCAGCTCATTCTGCGCTGCTCAAACGACTCGTCGACCCAAGTTCGAGATTCGGCACTCGGCCTTATCGGCAAGTGTATCAGTATGAGACCAGAGTTGGAGACTAAGATGATCGGAACTGTGGTTGATCGCTTCATTGATGCCGGACCAGGAGTCAGGAAGCGGGCTATGAAACTCGCTAAGGATATCTATCTTCGAAACAAAAGCAAGGCGATCCGCAGCGCCATTGCAAACGGTCTGCTTCACCGTGTGCAGGACCCGGAAGAGAGCGTAAGGGACCTGGCTCGCCAGGTTATCGAAGAGATATGGTTTATTCCCTTCCAGGAGGGCGAGAACTCTGCATCATCTCAGATCTCCCTCTCGGACCATGTTGCTTTGATGGTTCAGACCGTAAAGCAAGGAAACGTGACCAACGTCTTGGACAAAGTCTTGCAGACTCTCTTGGCACCGGATTTCAAATCTGCGGCGGTGTCGTTGGAAGTCTGCAGAAAGCTGGTTGCAAGCATGTTCGAACTGGTGGACAACCCTGAGTCGGGAGATTCGTCTGTTCCTTCGGGTCGCGATGCCCTGACAGTCCTTCAGATTTTTGCGAAAGCTGATCCTAGCCTTTTCACGTTTGAGCAGCTTCGACTTCTCAAGCCTCATATCGACAGCATGAACAGCAGCGAAGACCTAGTTGTGTCGAGGGCAGTCGTTGTCATCTACAAACTAGTTCTCCCAGAGGTCTCAAGCGTGCATAACGAATTCCTTACGGATGTTCGTAACAAACTCTTGCCTGCTGTTCCGAAGGTCACGAGAGTCTTGCTTGATGATATCGTGGCATGCCTCTGGATCATTAGCGAACGTTTAGACAACTCGGACAATCTCGCGAGACTCGTGTGCTCCAGTTTGGTGGCCATGAACCATATGCGCGTCAGTAATCCGAACAAGCCCCTGGAGGGGATGCCGAGAAAGCAGTTCGAACGCTACTCGCTGATCGTGGGTATGATCGGCAAACATTGCAATCTTGATAGCCATTTCCAGCTTTTCAAGCAGAGCAAAATCGGCCCTAGGATGACAGGGTCCGCCATATCAAAGCTTATGGTTGACATCGTGGTACCATTTGCGTCCCCTATCCAACCTTTGGATGTGAGGAAAGCGGCACTCGACTCGGTCGGCCTGGTGTGCCAGTCTTCCCCAAGGAACTACGTGGCAGCCAACGTCTATACAACATTCCAGCAAGTCTTTGACGACCAGAATCCGGTGCTGGAATCGATGGTCTTGCGTTCTTTCAAGGAATTCCTCTTTACGGAGGAGAAGAGATCCGAACAGGCCCCGGAAACTGCGGCTGGCGATGGCAAAGGCAAGAAGAAACGCGAGCTGACTGTGATCGGAGGCACAAACCACGATGATGTGGCCAGTGCGACGACTCACCGGTTCCTCAAGGAGATCATCCGTATTGCCACCGCGACTCAGGACGAGCATGCTTTCTTGGCAGTTGAGGTCCTTGCCAGCATTAACCGTCAAGGTCTGGTCCATCCCAAGGAAACGGGCGTGACCTTCATTACTCTAGAGACTTCGTCTAATCCCCGTATCTCTGAGCTCGCCTTTCTGGAGCACAAGTCACTTCATGGAAAGCATGAAACTGTTGTTGAACGCGAATACGTCAAGGCGATACAGTCGGCTTTCGCGTATCAGCGCGATATTGTCAAAGATCCGCGTGGCGCGACAGTCAATCCATTCACCCCTAAGCTTCATCTCATGATGGAGGTGCTCAAGATCAGCAAGTCGAAGAATCGTCAAAAGTTCCTGGAGAAGCTCTGCACTCAGGTGGACTTTGATGTGTCGAAACTCGAACTGACAGGCGAGGAAATCCCTCCTCACGTTCAGTATGCCCGTTTCATCATCGAGAACATGGCCTTTTTCGAGTATATGACGGTGGGCGAGCTTCAGTCTACCGTTTACACGATGGAGAAGTTAGTCACATCAACCGGATCAACCATAGCTCAAATCATTGAATCGGAGGTTTTCCAGGTCCGAATGGACGCTATTGACGGGCCCGCGCCTGAGCCTGAGCCGACACCAGCACTGGCGCCCACACCTGGAGAGCAGCCCCATGAACAACCGATGGCGCCTGTTCAGCCTGTCCAACCAGCACTGCCCGATATTGACATTCAGCGCCTCCGCCAGTTGACAGCAGGGTCCATGATCCTCCTCGCCCTTTGGGAAGTCCGCACCTACCTCCGCCGTCTTTACAACATGGGCACCAACCGCCGCGAGCAGAAAGCCAAGATCCAGGGCAAAGACCTCTCTCGTCCACCGGTCAAAATCCAGGGCGTCGCCGGCGACAAGGTTTGGGAGGAGATCGGAACTATTATGACCGGTCTCATTTCCCGCGAGCGCATGATGCAGACGTGCAAAGCATTTGTAGAGCTCATGAATGTTGACAAGGAGTTCCTCGTTCAGGATGAGGACGAGGATGAGGACATGATGGACCCCTTGACGCCGCCGAGCGGGGGTGAAGAGGATGACTATGATGAGGCAGGCCCAGCCGCCGGTCCCGGGAGGGGAAGGAAGAGGAAAGCAAGCGCCACAGGTCCCAACGGATCACCCGCCCCGAAGAGGAGAGGAAGGCCACCAAGAAGCAATTCCAAGGGGCCGCAGGGGCCGCCGAAGAAACGCGGCAGACCTAGAAAGAATCCGTTGCCCGAGGCGAGCCAACAACATGACGACATGGAGGCGGATTGGCTCTGATTTCCGTGGTCTGGTTTCATTCTTGGGGTCTGTATTGCTTCTGGGACGGGTTTCAATGACATGGAAGGATGGATGCATTGCGTCGATTAACATGGATATCTGGGTGACGGAATCCCTCATAGAGAGATGAAATGTTAGGTGGTCATCTCAGTCATGGATTGAGGGTTAGTAAAACGGACAGGCAAGGAAGGCAATAAATGGCGTAAAGGGAAATGTGAATGACCTGGCACCAGAGCAGGCATCAGTGGGATAAATGAAATTAATTGCAGCATATCATTTACATAGCTCTTTCTATGTATGCTTTTTTTGGTATTGAGATGGGTTTGAGATTCTGCCTCCGTGATGATTACTCGAGGAGAGATAAGATGATCAACCTAGAGAATCTGAACCTTGAAGCTTCGCGTGAACTTGGAGGATATGCCTTCAGAAGAACTGGATTTGAAACTGCAATGAAACCAAGTGTCCAACGCTGTCGCTTGAAGCAATATGGTCGCAAAAACCGTTCGACTTGCTTCATTGACGGATGTGGTACTAAGTAGTAGTAGCGATTTACACGTACAGGTAACGGCGAATTAACCTACTGTCAAATAAACCGAACATGGAACATGAGACTCCGGCCGTCATATAATAAGGACGGAGACCGTTGTTTTGAAAACGCAGCTATTTATTCACTTTTCCAACCGCCGCAGAATGTGCAAGAATTGAAGAAAATACTTAGAGGAGGGCACTGCAGGAACAAACTAACATAGAAGAAAAGGAGGATCCGATGCGACTGCGCGAGGGAAAGGGGGGTCCCATGTGGAGTTTAGTTGAAGATACAAGTTCGAAGATCACAAGCAGTGCAGCACTTCACTTTCGCAACTTCACTGTTAAGTGTTCGACGGGTGGATACTTCTATCCCGCTCGGCCTCAGAAAGGATGGTACCCTCACCGCAGACCGAACGTGAAGCATTTTAGTAAAGTAAGTACTCCAAAGCAAGCAGAACATTGAAGAATCATCGATTAGTAGACTCAGCTCCCAAAAGATATCATTTGTCACGTACGTAGACCAAAGAGGGACGGGACTGCAGTGAAGAAGTGTAAAGAGCAGGCAAGCCAGTGTTTGAAGGGCCGGGGACAGTTCCTCTCTTCAAAGGTCAATGAGAGCTCCAAAACTCCCCTGTTCAACCCATGATCAAAGAACCAAACTAACAAACAAACCAGTATTGAATTGTAGGGTATGTGCTAAGACCAGAGCCGCCGGACTAGCTGTGATCCCGTTGCTTTTGCCATATAACCACCCAAATGTGTGGAGATGAATCATTTGCACTGCACAAGAGGAAACCTCGAAGCGCATAAAGAAGGAAGGTAGAGAACAAACAGAAAGTTGCAATGAAGAATATCACCTCCAGGCAGGGAAAAGGAAGGATGTCACAGAGGAAAAAAGAAAAGTTCCAACCACCAAGACGGAAACTAAGAAGAAATAAGAAGGTTTGACAGGTCTCACTAAGTAAGCGAGCTTTTAGGCCTGCCTCGCCTGCTTAGCAGATCATGACCTTCGAGTATCTGGAGACGTCTTACAGAGAAGCAAAGCAAGAGGCCACTAAAGGAAATGGGCTTCAGTTTCCAACATGCGGCCACGGCATGTCAAACAACTTCGAAATTTAGCACAGCAGCCATGGCAGGCAGATAAGTGCAACTAATAACAACCAACACTGCGCAAAATGTCAGTATTCGGAAATCAAGAAGTGTAGTTGGCGCTACTACTCGCTAGCTGGCACCTACCTCTAAGCAAGCGAGACAGGAGGTAAAGGGCAGGTGGATGGGTGTGGTAAGTAGGAGAAGTAGCGTTCCTCACTGTTATGACGAGAAGTAAGCGCCTGTCGTTCAGTTTACTGGCACTGCAAGTCAAATTCGAAGTCTTCACTCGGAAGCAGCACTTCTTTGGGCAGTCACCATCACGTAAGTTCCGTTAGTATCGATGGTTGCACTTTCCAAGTTCAGTTCTCTCTGGGCAGCTCTTGCATTCGTTGCAAACAGAAGAACTCAGGTTCAGACTCTGATGATGTAAGTACCTCAACAGAGATCTGTTAGTGAGCGCCGAGCTTAAGTATGGGAATTTTCATCGCTCTACTAGCGTCTCTAATAGGAGATCTGAGGAAGTACTTCTTCACCTGAACCAGTCATTAGCCCACCGCGTCGGGCGCATGGAAATTTGTCGAGTGAGCGGACAACCTCAGTGTCTTCTGTAGCGAGGCCCAGTACTTAATAAGTACCCTACAATTCAATACTGGTTTGTTTGTTAGTTTGGTTCTTCGACCATGGGTTGAATGGGGGGGTTTTGGAGCTCTCATTGGCCTTTGAAGAGAGGAACTGTCCTCCGTTTGAAGCGACATAGGACAATGGCAAGGGCTTAGGACACTACAGAAGCCTCTTATGGGTGTCCTATTATATCTCTCTTCGTCTCCCTCAAAGCCTTTAAGACTGGAAGATATCAGTTTTACGGCGTTTACCCGATAGAAAGCCGAACGCTTTCTTATATCCAATAAAGCTTTGGCTTTTTTGTACCAGACTAACAAACAAACCAGGTCTGGATTGTACATGCCGCATCAAGAATCACCTATATATCGAGAAAGGAAAGTTATGTGGTCAAGTGCCTTGCTACCATGCTATCACACCCGGCGGACTGTGATGCATGCTTGTGACGCCTCGTTGGCGTGTAGGGATCCTGTTCCTCGGATAAGTTGTGAAGAGATTACTTCCTCTTTTTGGTAACCCGGAGCCAACTGAACTCAGCAGAAAAGAAGCAATGGGTACTTGAAGAATACATCTAAGGGGACCGGGTACCCTGCCCCCCGTCACCTACACTTAGTTTTCCTCTCTTCCAGGAAGCCCATCTGCCATTATGCTCCTACCTCCTTTCTTGTGGTCTTATGTCCCTCCACTTCCTGAGGCGCTATATTCCTCCTTTGGATGAATTAGAGGAGCGGAAATCAGAGGATTGGTAGTCACTGCAGTCTTTACCGTCTACACAAAGTGCATGACTTGGGCCCGCGCGGATACAATTCCGCAAGACATGGAGCATCCCCACAGAATCCCTCGCCGGTTGTCCAAAGCCTCGGTATTTGCCAGCTATCGAACGGCAGTCGTGGTGGTGAAGGTGAGCTTCATGTTTCATTTGGTTTCATCTCCGGCAGATCGTCCCAGGCTAATATCCGTGGGGCCGGCAGCGGACCTTTACCCTCCGCATTGGCACTGAAAATTCCCCTAGACTGATCCACGTCAGTTGCTAATGCAGTTGCAGTTTAGTGCCATCTCTACTGTACAGAGGTGTATGGCGTAGCATTGGGGTTACCGAATGTGAAAGGTAAGTTAGCTGTGCAGGACACTACAAACACAGACCGCTGTAAGACAGCATGCAGCATGATTGAAGTCGAAACACAAAACGCTCGGTTTCCAACAAGGTTAGCGAATCTTGTAAGGACCGTCGTTGGCTTTTTCATCGTGCTCTGAACGAGCCTGTCTCTCCGTTTTCTTCGAAAAAATCCACCTCGCTGCATCATCGCGCACACAACGTATGTATAACATGGCCTACTGCCAGTGGGGGTAGAGATCGCCAAGGGGTAGCTGAGTGCCATTTCGGAAGCAACTTCGAACTAGTCCAGGTGATGTTTCTGATGTGGTCATCCCAATGCTCGCACAGACAGTGAGTAAAGGGGAAGTGGGATGAGAAACCTGAGTGGACGGGTGTAACGACAGTTAAGAACAAAAGGTACTCGTACTAAAGCAAATCTATACGGGGTGCGGAACCACTCAATGCCGCATCTTTGCTTCACTTTGAAGGTACCAGGGCCTTGATACACGCTTTATATAAGGACTGTGTCGAGATATCGATGGTAAGGAGAAACGTACCAAGTATCCAAGAAGCCATGGGACTGAGGAGCCGCGATTCTTGGCGTTTCTAGCCCAGACGAGTAGTGGTGTAGGGGTTGCCATGTGATCATGAAGGGGTGGGTCAACCGATTCTCACCCTCACCAGCCTGTAGAGAGCGAAGCACATTTGTACATCAACAGGCAAACAGTTCGGAAGGTGACAAAATCGAGATGTTGGGATGAGATGGCAGATCGCGTGGCAGCATGATGAGAAAAGTTTTTGGCACGGGTCCACGCAACACTCCATGCATGTTTCCAAAAGACGACGAGAACAAAGCAATGAACGAGAAGAAGCATATGGTCCTAGGCCACGAGTGGCCGGATTACCAGAAGAAATTAATCGCAAGACGATTCAGGGAAAGGCACCGTTCCCATGAGTGATGTGTCGAAGCGTAACTGTGTGTTTGCTGAACTTGGTTCGCCATAAAAAACCGACAACCCAGCGAACCAGACAACGATTTAAATACCAAAAAGGGCAGGTATTTTAGGCGGTGCAAGTGGTGGCTGACTATCTCGACTGCTTGTCCAAAACTCAGAGCAAGAAAACTCGGTTATCAAGCTGCACCTCTTAATGACCGTCCTCATAATAAATCCACACAAAGATATGGTCGCAGGCTGTACCATGCTGGGCTCAACCCAGAGCTTCCTTCAGAAGGTATTCGAGTTGCACACTGATGTACCTGCTTGGCAGCTAAGTACACTGTGTGTACTTTATGACCTGTCCACCGTCTTTTCGTCTCGCAAGGTTGTGGCTGCTTTCAGCGGGAATCGCTACCAACCCCTCGGTAAAAGACGACCAATTTGTTGAGTCTCCATGGCATTTTCCCTTCTCCGAAGGGTTATGATCCCAGACCTGGCACACGACCCGACGATACCGAGCCGAACCAAAAAGATTCACCGATATCGTAGATATGGCTCTTATGCCATGATTAGTCGTACCAGAGCAATTGGTGTCGATAGCAGACTTCTCAAAACCGGACAGCAATGGAGGAGAGGCGCCGGTTGATGAGTTGGCAGATCGCACAGGATGATCTGGCATTTTGAAAAGAGAATTTTGGAGGGTGATTGGCGCTCGCAGCGTTTCTTAAGCGTTCTCCATCTGAATTCTCAGACGTCAGGGACAGGGTATGGACGAGTTGAGGGTCGGAGCTTTCTCCGTTATCGAGACATCGAGGGATATTCGGCAGTCATCAATGCTAGCCCAGGCAGAGGAACGCGATGTGTAAAGATGCTGG